AAGGTAAATGTTAGTGGCAACAGATTGAAGAGCGTGTAAACCGTGCAAGCGAACCTGGAGCGGTAGCGACACCCTTCAGTATTATACACAAGTCTCTGAGGAACTCAGACAGTCCATCACCTTCGGCGAATCCGAGGTTTATTGCAACAAAAACCTTAATTTTATCAGGTCAGCAGAACATTTGGCTGGCAACCACATGTTGGCCTCCTTTCGCCACAGAAACCGTCTCAGACAGCCTGTCTAGAAATTCACAACGCAAGTTTCCAAATCGGCCACACAATAGCCAGGATTCGGTCCATTTCAGGGTCATCAAAGTGAGTATTCTTGCAAGAATCAATGTCACCACTGGACTCGTCTGGCGATACCTCGCATTTGAGCTCTGTACAGGTCTTGTCTTCAAATTGGCGACCACTTCGGAGAAAGAGTAGCTTGAAAACTTTTAAGCTAGAATCCTTTCTATAGTTAATAAGAATATAGAAGAGATATAACTAGAATCTATTTATAAAGTAATTTAATTATAATTCGGACTTATTTTAAGAAAAATTTTAATACCTTTTTTATAATTCTATAGTATTTTAGTCGATACTTATTAATCTATTTCAAGTTATTCTTAATAGTTAGCCTACCCCCCTCGATATAGTATAGTATCCTAGAGAAGTTTCTTAATATAGCCTAGCATAGTAGAGGGGGGTAAGCTGAGATGTTGCAGAGGGGGCTGTTGAGGTGTGAGCCGTTGTTATGACCTAAATAAACCTATTTATCTAACTCAAGTAGATCTCCCGCATCGGGTCCGAGGTGTTACGAGCAGGTCAGGGCAACCAACTGTGGCACAAAGCAAAAGCTTCGGTAATGATGACTCCGGCATCATTATCCCCTGTTCTGCACTATATAGCTACGCCGGCCAGGCACCAACTGGTTAGGCCGTAACACGAGGGCCTACTTAGGCGGGATAGATGTGGTTGGCTCTGAGAAAAAGCATCTTGGCTGTTGTTATGCCCGATGCTGATGTGTATTCTCGCAGTTACAAGGTTCCTAACAGCGATCTAATACTATAGTTATGCCTTCACGCTTACTGTTAGGCCAGACAAGCGTCAGATTTCCAGTCCAGCTTCCAAACCATTAGACCAAGTCGGGTAAGGGCCGCGCTCGACTCCATCCGAACGCCCCCATCACTAAATAGCCTGAATAGCCTTACTGTTTAAGCCAAGAAGGATCACGAACGAAGAATTCAGCGGCGGGACGAGATAATGCCTGTAAGCAGTGGGAGTCCGACAAACTCGGCTAAGACAACTAAACGTTAAAGCAACCGAATACGGGGAGGAGACTTGATTGGGATTCTACAACAAGCGAATAATCATTTCTAGATAGTTGTTTAATTACACTGCAATCGTGAATGAAGACCTGTTTACCGATGTTGCCTATTATCCAACCTATTTTCCTCGATTTATAAATACTCTTTTCGACTAGCTCGTGGTTTCTGCACCGTGCCGTATCGGTGCATGAATGGATCTGCAATCTGGGCAACGACAGCCAGCCATAAACATATCTTTACTGTCAAATGGAGGACATGCTGTGGCTCTATGCTTTTCAGGCCATTTGTTTTGCATCTGTAACAGAATGTTCTATGCTAATAGCACAAATTAAACATGCTTCCAAATCGCTAGGCTTCGCGGGCATTTCTAAATCAGCCGATCTCGATATGAATGAATTGTGACAAAACTTTAGAGTGTATTAAACTACATTATAACAGGATATGTTAGTGCTAGGTATACTAGGGACACTAAATAATTGATATTGAATTAGCTATTAAGTTCTAGCCCCTCCTATGTCCCTTTTGCAGCTTGCATAATGATATAATAATAGGCTTGAATGGTAAGAAGACATGCGAAATGCGAACCCTGGTTAGCCTTACGAGAATCGCAGAAATACTCTGTGAGCTATACTACGACTAATGGCTTCTTCCGACTACTTATAGTATATAAGCCTGAACGATAATCCGATGGTAGCCTTAGTATATCTTTGGAGTCTCTGGTAGTCTACGTTCGGTCCCTGATTCTATAACCTTGAAAACGAGATACGATAATACTACCTCTTGAGGGTAGAGAAGATGAATCCATAGTAGCGGGTATCGGTAATGTATCTAGGTCGATAATACTAAAGTTTGTAAAAGGTTAGGAAATAGTTACTGAAGATGATAACCTATGTATTGGCCTACTGACCCTAAGGGTGCGAAGGCGTCGGCTTGTTACCATATCCTATAAAGTGATGAGTTTATCCGATGCGATGGCTACTTGTTTATGGTTACCTGAAAATGCGATTAAATATACGTTAACGAAGGGATTCAGCTTCTGGCGGCATGCTGCTGTCGCTACGTCCTATACCTGATAACCGTCTACTGCGGTTGCATCTAAGGCCGCAAGATAGGGCAAGTAGCTTCGCGCTTTGTCTTCTAGCAATATAAGTAGCTATAGTAGGATTCGCCTAACACATACGACCATACCCACTGGAAAACTCGGGATCCCGTCCGCTCTCCCATAGATAAGCCAGTGAGGGCCGGATTAGTAGTTGGGTCGGTGACGACCAGCGAATACCTGGTGTTGTATGTTTTTGTTTTTGCGTATATTTTGGTGGGCGACAGTATACTTACTCTTAGGAGAAGCGAAAAGTTTCACACCTCAGCAGCCAGACTAAGCTTTGTTTAACCGATACCTTTACGCAAGGGTTAATAGTCGTCTAACTTGCTACTATACTTTTAATAACTTTAGAGATCTGATAGGTTTTTTATATGAAGGATAATCTATAGACTCTTTCTAGGCGTATTCTTAAGATCAAAGCAAACGCTAGAAACTTTGTCTCTCGCTAGCAACTCCGTGTGACGGCTTCTTATATACTACACGAGATATTAGCGAGCATTTTTAATTTGCATCTTAGCCGAGACTAGCAAGTCGCGGCCCACTATCGAGGTTTATAACTTACTGCCCCTGAACCAAGGTAGCAAATATATCGTTTAACTCAACGACGTCGACCGGCAACGCATGACTGATGGCGATCGGCTGGAATGAGAGCCTGGTAAACGGTAATCCATACCCTTAGATGAGGTCTTGGGGCATGGTTGGGCGGCTCTACACACGGACCAAGATAAATCTAGGAAGGTGAAGAAACGAATGAGCTATTTCGGGTTCGCCCGTGCTGAAACAGACTCCTAGCACCGGAGTGATTGGAACCAAGACGTCTGGAGGAGATTGAGAAAGGAAATGAAGTACTGCCTCTAGCCCTGGTTCCGGCTCTGGCTTGGGCCAGCTTGGCGTGCACAAAGCACGCATGGGTGTAGATAGACAGTGAGATACATCAATATCCTCTTGGCGTTTAATTCGTACATGAGCGTGGCTGATTGCTGTTCCTGGACAGGGGTTCTGTATCGATGGCCATGCCATGGAGACCTGAGAACGTTCCATGGGATGTCAATATTTTGTGTGCATTCGTATTTTAGCAAATGTTCTGTTACCCTTCTTCTGGTCGCAGATATTTTGGGCTTCTTCGTTGGTAAGGTCGATTGCCGAATTCTCTTCCATGCCTTGGCTCAATGTATGCCTGCCGTTGCTCACTGGTCACCTAAAACATAAAGATATTATTCAGGTAAATAATATTGATATTATTAATAAAGCCTATTAAAACCTTATTAATATATATCTAGAACATAGATAGTAAATTAATAAGGCTGAATAATAGGATTATATACTTAAAATATCTATATTGTATTTAAAATATTATCTTCTATATTCAGCAACGCTATCCTACATTTTAATCCGCGCAAGACTTCTTCTACAGACCTACTGCTCTCCAACCTTCTCATCACAGGACTTACCATAGTAACCATATTCATGGACTAAAACCTGCTTTTAGGATGCTTAGCAGGTGGATCACTGCCAGGTGTTAGTTCTGAAAAGCTAGCTTCACATGCATTGTCCGTGACCACAGATGCTCCGGAGAGAGGACTTTATATAGGCCTTCTACTACTTCCACGCCTATTAAATCTGAGTATAAAAGGTAAGGTCGATGGAGTATCCCCGCTAGACGCCACTAAACCAGTCTCTGCCTTACTTGCTAAACCATGCTTACCATTAGGCGGTGCAGGTAGAGGAGGGGCATAGACCCCGATACGGGAGGAAAGCGGTTTGCTAGTCCAGACGTATTATCTCTTTTCTTCCTGAAAAAGAAGATAACAGGAGCAGCGGGCACGGAAGTCGATGTTCCCGCTATCTTCCCTGCATGACTATCTATGGCTGCCTGGGAGGGCATTATTTCCTCAAGCGAATGCCCTAGCTTGGAGACATGACCTGAAGCTCCACCTGGCAACTAGTTAGCATTAGAAGCTACAGCACCTATGATAGCCAGCCTTGTAGCTCCTCTCTACGCAGTGGACTTAGCTCTACACAGTATGTCCTTGTATTCTCGGTCGTCTATCAAGCTCTTCATTTCTATTGCCTCAACTGCCCTAGCAAACCATTTAACGACCTCACCTAAAGGAGGAACTCCTTTCTGATATTATCAATTACATAGAGCGGCTATCGCGAAACACACCCTTAATAAATGGCAGGTACTCGAAGCGATCTCCTCCAGCGTCGTTCTCATCACGCAATATTAAGTAGGCCTACATCCACTGCCAGGCGACCTGGTGGCGTTGGAAAAATTCATTTACTGCCCAACTAACTTATTAACTCAGTCTTTGGAAGAAGCCATCACGACATTAATTACAGTTGAACAGCTTAAAACTTTTGACAAGTGCGTATCATTTTGCGTATAAGTAGGCTACCTGGATATTCAGCGGTTGTGTTAAATCTAGCTCGCCCATCCGCCTATTAGTAACCTCCGCAATGTTATGTTAAACAACCTTCTGCTTCTGAATCTCGGCCATGCTAAAATACTTCGAAGCACTCAAACCATACTTCTGCCTCGATGGTCTCCATGGCAGGCCGAACAAAGGTAATATCCGATCTACATCAAAACCCCCCCGGCTGAGCCTTTGCCAAAGCCCGAAATTTCTGTACGGCCTTGTGAAGCAGCACGATGTGCATGGCACAGGCCCCAAATGCGGTTTGCACGGCTGCTCTCTGTGCCAAGAACCCATCATCCTGCCTCTTTCCATCCCAGCACTCCTTCGCAACGGTGGCTGTGTTCTTCGTGGCGTCGATCAGTCGAGCGAACTGATTTTCGGAACCCCACGGATGCGGCCCCAAGGAGCCTTTGGCATTGGAGTACGCGTTGAGGAATATATCAATACCTTGTAACATCTGGCGTGTGAACTGTAATTTGTAGTCGATTCCTCGCCGCAGTTCATTAGCCATTTCGCAAGCATGTTGGAGCGTTGCCTTGTGTGTGGCATGATGTTCGTCGATAAAGTCTGAGAGCACTTGCAGCTGGTGCCAGCACGTCTCTTTGTGGACGAGCCGTTTTAGTTCTACTGCTGAACACTCGGTGGCATGACCTCGTTGCGGGCGAGACATCAGATGGCGATAGTGAGACATGCTGGTCATGAAGTCGAGCAGTCGGCCAGCACGATCGCCGGGGGTGCTAGTTGCTGACACATCATCAGACGTGCCACCCCATTCGTCAGGTCGTAAGACGGCGTTCCATGATGACAGGAGCGCCCGGCCGAGGGCGCATCTATCGGCGAGGCCGCCTCGGGGAAGACTCTGCGGCAGCGGGGCCCGTGTCCCAATGTGGTCGGCAAATTTGAGGGCGTACACTCCACAATCGTGGCTATTGGTTTGTTGAACGCACTAGGTATTGCGTCAGTCTAGCACGAACAAGGGTGCTTGCTTGCTTCCTTTATGGGTAGAATGAGACTGGAAGACATTTTACCTTGATATAATGACGTTGAATTGTCATGTCCCCAAAGTCATGAACCCATCTCAGAAAGTCTACGACGCGGTTGACCGGATCTCGCTTTGGCCGAAGACTCCGCAATGAATCAAACACCTCAAGTACCCCGTCTTGTTTGCACCACCGACAAACGAGCCAATGGCCTTCGTGGTGGACAGGAATGAGAACAACAGGTTTGCATACGGTCTCCTGAAGTCGGACACGGAGAGAATCCGTTCGCTGGCAGCAGATCTGAAAAGTGTTGAGGACGCCAACTTGAGCACTGGCGAGTCTCTGGATGAGGGTGTTGATGACCATGTCATTAAGCTTAACGCCGGGATTTAAGCTTTCAAATCCGTGAAGCAAGAGGTCAAGGTCGACGAGCGCCCGTCGTTGTTTTGGAGGGGCATCGCAAGGAAGTTTGTCAGGCAAATCAGAGACTCGGGTGTTGGTGGAGGCAATATCGACAAGTGTATGAGCATTTGAAGCGGTTGAGCTGCCGGTCACTGCCGCCGCATGGGGACGAGGGCTATGACTGGAGACCAAAGGAGATGGAGGAGACATGTTACTACTCAAAAGTGACGAATCGTCAAAGTCGGACAGCGGCCCCGACCTCAGACGTTTGGCTGACAGGCTGCCCATGTTAGTTGTTGCGGTGGGCAGCAGGTCGGAACAGGAACTCCTGCGTTTTCGTGTCCATCGGATAGAAACGTGCTCGCCTAGGTCGGCTGGTGGTGATCTGGCAAGTGAGAGGCTGCATTGGGAGGGTGACAATATTTTTTGGTCCTCCAGAACCAACCTGTCGCTGAGAGCTGTGTCTTGAGCTACAAGGCCTCTTGCTAACTCGGGGGAAGACGCACGTGAAGGAGCGGACCCTGATGTTGTGTTGGCATGCGGGCTGACCCGAGGACGTTCAAACTCCTCTTCGGCATTCTGTTTCAAAGAATTATCGTCCATATCGTCGGCATCCATAGCAACGAAGCCAACGCTACCGTCGTCGTCATATTCATCGGCGTCATCGGGTTCGGGTTCAGGTTCTGGAGAGGGTTTGTCGTAGACGTTGGCATGTGTTCCTTTCTTACTGCGCTTTCGAATGCTGGGGTCGACTGTTGCTCATAATAGGTATAAGTCAGTCAAATGGTCCCCGCCAATGGGAGTAGATGCAGATGGGAGAGGCTGCCAAGCAAGGATGACTACTTACAGTGGTCAACTGTCTTCTTGAGGATGGCGAGAATGGACTGGCCAGATGCAGTATTAACAGACGCAGCGAATTTCGCCATATTTTCGTTAAATAAAGACGACGGCGCTTGGGCAGAAAAGTAGTGGTAGAAGGTGATAATACTGAGAGAGGGGTTTGCCTTGGAAAGCGTGCGCAGTAAATCGAGACATGCGCGCGACCTGGCGACGTTTGGGGTGAAGAGGAAGCAGAAGGAGCTGGGGGAGATAGTGAGGCTGGTACAAAGCGTTCGCAAACGGCTGCGGCGATCTGGGAGAAAAGTGTCGAAAACGGAGGCGAAGTCAGCGTCGCAGGCAATATTGAAGATGTCGCGATTAACGTTGACGAGAGCCCAGTAACGAAAGTTGGTGGAGGACGACAACAATGTGTAAGCTTGAAACTCGTCGCGCAACTGGTTCCAGTGCATCTTTATGCTAGTGCCGGAGTCGAGGTTGTTGAGGGCGTTGAGGGCAGCCTCGAGTTGGACGGAGGCTGTCATGGTGATGCTTTGGATGGTGCCACATGAGAAGGAGACAACTAGGTGATGGCGAAGACAGGCCAGAAGACGGAGAGTACAAGGTTGAAAGTGAATTCAAAGAGGAGACGTGAGAGGCAAAAAGCCTCGGTAGGAGGGTGACAAAACACCATAGCTGTACGGTTGTAGCATTTGAGGCAGGAGGAAGTCGAATTGAAGTTGCCAAAACAGAACAAGAAAACAAGAAGTCTATAGAAGGACAGCAGGAAGCAAAGACAGGAAAGACCCGAGCGCTATCGTGTGGTTCTGGCTGATTCCCCTGAAATCCGGCCAGAAACCTGGCCGCTAAATGAGTTTTTCGGCCACAAGGTGAGTCCACGCAATTGGCTGTTCTTACCTAAGCTGCCTCGGTCGTTGTTATTAGAAGGTACATTTTACACTGGATCCACAATTTAAACAATGAAAGAAGAACCTTATTGTCGTTTGGCTTTTTGTACCTTACCTAACTGAGGTACTATTCCCACTCCGGTGGCACACTCCCACCTCTCAAATCACCTCGTCCATTGTCACGCAGCCCAAGGCCCACCGCTTATGGAGTGTAACGTGTGTTTTAATTAAGAAAATACTGTCTACATGTCTGCTGGGCATTTACATAACCACCGATTCGGACTTCCCATGGGTAAAGTGCCGACCCCGTTGGTTTTATATGGGAAATAATAACCGAGCGCATGGGTTGAATGCAAGTCCCGATGTATGCGATGGTCAGTGTGACATTCATCTTAAAATACAGAGACCTAAACTCAATGCGTCAACAAGTGAAAGTAATAAACAGTGATTCTGTAGTCTCTGTTGTTTTCTTCTCAACCGAGCCCTCGCTCGCAGGGGCGTCGCGTCCATGGTTAGCTACAGTAGAAACGTATCCTCCGGGTCTCGAGCCTTTGTGTCTCTATTTACAAATTGTTCCTCCCTGACTTGATCAACTATTGTGATGGCTTCGTGTCTAGCCAAGCTGCCACAAGCGTCGAGTGACGTCCTTGCCCTGGGCTTAAGTTACATAAGCGAGCTCGATCCCTGATTACACTCTCAAGCGAGTCACACACTCCTACTTAAAGAATATAAGCTACTTTCTTCCACCGAAAGGTAACGAAACTGCTGCCTTCGCTACTTTAATGACAATGTTATCATCTTTATATCTTTCCCGGCCACCTTTGATCCTTCTGGAAGATTCTCACCCGCGATCGGTCATCCACCGTTGTTTGCCCTCCGCAAATCCGTCCTTGATCAAAGAACGGATCAATACGGATTCCAGCGGGAGTATTGGCAAACGTGGACATTGCACAGGCTCGCTCGACATATCTGATCTGGTTGTAGCTAACGTACGGGCCGGAATATTAGCCGTTGAAGAGTGCGACAGACCTCCATTTCAAATTATAGTTTGATTTTGTGACCTATGAACAGCAACATCCAGTGGTAGCCGCAGAGCGATGTAGCAATGCAGCATAAGGGCGGGCTCCAACCAGACCTACCGTAGGAGGATTCCTCCGAATGACTGACGTGTGGGCCTTATGGACGAACATGTCACGGTGGGCTGACCCATCCGAACGGACTCACAAGTTCTAAACAAGGGTAAATAAGTATGAGTAGCACCAAAACTCACCCAGACCCCAAACTCTGGACCCGGGCTTAGAAGGTAGCTTTTGAAACTAATAACTAGATCAAGGCAACCTATCTGTATTAAGCCTTCCCCCTAAATCACGAGCAGCACCGCCAATCATACTGTAGTACAGACATCCCTCCTGTATGCTTCAGTCATCAGCTCGGGCCTGCATGGATCTATGGATTGCCAAGGCTTGCTATGAAAGTCGCCCCATCTAACGTATTCTACCTCGACTCTTTCCCGAGGTAGATTGCAACCATTCTCTTCTATGCACCGCTCTTCGTCCACTCTAGCTAAGCATGTCGCCTCATCCCGTAGCGGTATTCCCACGGTTCGATCACTGAGCTGCGTAAAGAAGAACTGCTATCTTGGACGAAAATAGTAGCGTATCGTATCTTGACTATATGGATTAAACTTGCCTTGACTAGTTGAGTCGCAGATAGTATTTGCGGTTTGAAAGAGGCCTAGAGTATGACCGTATAGAGTGTGACTCCCTCATGAAGCTTGATCTGTCATGTCCTGATGCTTCGTTCGCTTTGATCGGGCACCTTTGCGGATCCTGGGCTTGCGCTTCTTGCTACTCTTTCTGCTCTTGAGGACGAGTTTTGCATCTCTGTCGACGATGGCTAATTGTACAGCTGCCTGGAGCTGGGTAATAACGTCTGTGAAGGCGATACGGATCACGGCGTGAGAGTCGTCATATTTGGCTGGCCCAGGCCTGCGAAAGGCATTTGATGAGTCTCATAATTCTGCAGATTACGATGCCATCCACGAGCAGGAGGGAGATCAAGAATGGGAAGAGAAGACTATTAGCGAAGGGGAAGTGAACTTACTTATTTTGAGCCTGACGCTTTTTATGCGAGGGCCTCTTTTGCGTAGCCGTCTGGTCACCAAAATCAGATGGGTAGAGGTCGAGGTAGGCCTCTGGTTCGTTCAGAGGGGTCCATTCCATTTCGCGCACGAGCTTTTTGCCTCGCCTCACCTAGAGGCTGATATTACATTCGCCGAGATGCTGGGGAATAGCTTCGTACGCGGTTGGTGCGTTTTTATTGTAGAAAATCTTGAGGCCGATAGCAGCACACACAAACTTCCCGGATCTGACGTAGCGGTAGCACTTTCTCAAGACGTCTTCGACACTCCGAGATACTGCGACCTCGAGCACGAGACGGGGCCAAGGATCATCGGTACTTGTAGACCAGCGCTCGTCGGGAAAGAGTTCTCCCGCGCTGCCATTGCTGCCTTGCAGAAGAGAGGCCGCGCCGGATAGTTCTTCAAGAAAGCAAAGCTTACCCTAGGTTACGCTACGGACGAGCTAGTTGAACTTGCGGTGGAGTGTGGTATGCACTACAGACTCGGGCATCTTAAATCGAACATAGCCTTCATCGGGGTAGTATTCGACTTTGAGCCTCGAGGATTCGACGCTATTAGACCGCAGGGTACCGTGAATAAGTTCAAGAGCTTCTGGATAATGAAGAGAGATCACACGGCTGTGTGCGTTGGCAATCTGGGAGGGTGAAGTAAAATTGTTGCTAAAAGTAGAGGGGGTGAGAGTATAGATGGTTTCGAGGATCTCCTTTAGACTTGAGGGCATTTCGGTCCTATTTGTGCTATTGTGAGGGAAATCACTGGTCTCGTAAGCGCGATCGTAGGCTTGAACATGATCGCGCTTGTTATCGGGGGCCTCTCGGTCGTCTGTACCAACCGCCAAAAGGGAAGCCTGCATCGCGAGTATGTTGGGGTGGAAGGGAGCGTTTCTTTGTGTAGGGTTCGCGGTTAGAATTAGAGTAAGTGAACTGGGGTCAGTCAAGAAAACACTTACCATGCTGATAATGTTTGTCTTCGCTAAGCGGAACGCGTGAGTACATTGTTTTCTTCACGATCAAAGATTCACGGCGTAGAAACCTGTAATGAAGAGAGGCGAAAGTGAATGCTTTTGCTTACCTAAGGAGGCCTTAGGTTCATATTTAGGACGGGAGGCACCAAGGAAGGTCTTTATTAGTTACCAAAAGATAAGCGATAGGTATCAGATTAGCAAGGAAAAGCCAACACTAGTACGTAGTATCTCCGGCTCCACCAAATAAAGACGTTTCTCCACAACGGATGAACCTTGCAATGCTCTACAGCCTCAGCACGCGGTTGCGCAGAGCGCTGTCTAGAAAGTAAGACAAGATGACGTACCAAGCTTATCGGTGGAGGATAAGACAAGCAGGGTAGAGGTGGGTAGGCTAGTTCCCCCTCCTCTCGTACTCGAATAGGGAAGGGTTACACAACAATACCCCATCCCCATCAACACATCCCCGTCAACACATCTTCAGCTGCATCTCGTTCACTGTGTCTCATCGACTTCATGTTCTCGATTGCATCTTTCGACTTCGTTTCCTCGATATCCTCTCTCTAACGTCCGCTACTCATCGCATCGATTTCGCGCTGCCAATAACATCTCTTGTCATCTTCTATCTCCGCTGTGTGGGGCTTTTTGTCTGGGGCGCCACTTTCAGCCACAATCCTGACCTCAGCCACAGCACCAGCCACAAGCTCAGGCCAGCTCCTTCCGCATCCCGCATCGCGCGTCGCGCTCCTGCTCCAGGAGCAGCGCTCCGGATCACCTACCTGGAGTAGCTAGTCTGTTGATGCTTATACTGAGGGGGTGTCAAAATTTGACCCTCCCTTCAACAGATGCATAATGTCAGACCTTGGAAGCGGCTGCTTCCACACAACTCTTGCTAAGAAGCAACTCTCTCGGAGCTTCATCGTTAATCGTGGCGTTACCCTCCTCTCTCTCGTCGTCTTCGCTCCGCTGCTGTGTGGCCAGAAGACAAAAGACTTGAAGAAAAGATAATGAAAGTCAGGTTTGCACGGGTTGACTTATTTACCAAGGAAAGCCCAATGCAATAGAGGGATAGGGATCTTCAGTTCACGGACACAAACTGCAGCCCACCATCTTCAGACTGATTGCGCTTCCGCTTGTGTTGAGATATCGAGGAAAGCTCTCCAGCTTAATCTTCTTGGCGGCCTAATTTTGGTGGGCCTCTACCCTTGCGCTTACGCTTCAGAGCGAGAGCGACCGCGATCTTCTTCTTCTTCTTCTTCACAAGCGAAACAGCCCTGTCGCGTCCGAGCTGCTCCAATCTCTCTGTTCGAAGACATCATCAACCTTTCGCAACGCTACGTCGAGACTCTCTAGCCCTTCTTTGTCGGCGTCCAAGACCTCATCGACCGCAACTCCTTCAAAGACGACAACGTTCCTCGCCGGGGCGCCAACATCACGACACGCTTCTTCCTCAGCCACGTCTACACCGTAAGCACCCAGCTTTGCGACGCCGCCCCAGACGGGCTATCCCTGTCTCTAGCAGAGCTCCCGGAGGACATCGCGCTCCTTTGCCACGGGCTCTACGATGCAGTGGCCAATCTTTTCTCTCTCTGGGCAGCGGCTTCGGCGACGCTGGCCATCTCGTGGCTGTCGAGCTTCGAACTCACAATCTGTTACCTCCGTGAGGCGATTCGGACGTCACCACCACCACTCGACATTGATGCCGATGCTTTCCCCAATGAAGACCATGTGTTTCTAGAACCAGACCTCATACTCTTTTGTTCGTCAAGTCCACGCACACCTCCTCCCTGCCAGGATTCAAAAACAGTCTCCTATCAACATCTTTATATGACGCCGCTGGGCAGGTGGCAGAGTTTTCCGACACTCTGCTAGCCGCCATGTCCAGAGGGAATTCTCTGCTGCGGATCCTTAGCGAAGGTGATATCTTTGTTCGGTCTCGCCGACACCAAAAGGCGACGGGAATGGGAGACTATGCTCGTCCCTGGCTCGCCAGCTGGTCACCACCACCACCACCATCAAGCAGCAGATCCTCTGTCGAAAAAGCCACCGCCAGCATCGCCCCGGCGTGTGACGAAGCGGCCCCATTGTGCGCACTGCGATTTCAGTGACGTGGGTCATCAGCGTGACGCAAGTGAGGCTGCACGGCTTGACCGACGCATTCGAGGGAGGAGCTGGGGAACCGCACCGGGGCTCTCTGCAGCGGTCCCATCCCTATGGCATGCCATATAGAAGACGGCGGCGGCGAGTGGCGGCGTGGGCTGCCTTGAGTTACCGAGACGACGAGTGATGACGGCCTCCTGCTGACACGGACATTCTGGTATCTCTCCCAAGTCCAAAACTGGGATCGTGCTGCCAAGGCCATTTCATGGTGGGGACGAGCCCAGCTGCGCCGGACGCAGATGGAACGGAACCTGGCAAACTCGGAGATTGAGAAGTACTAGCATCAGAAGCCGTGAGGCGAATCATTTGGGACACTAGACTCGCAAAGGGGCGCATTTAGATGCACCGGGGACACCTTATAGGCTACAGCTGGTGATGAAGCTAATTCTTGCCATCTCAGAAAGAGTGTCGGCCTCCTGGCCATAGACCGAGAGACAGAGAAAAGAGAAAAGCTGCACTTAAACACGCCCAAGGAAGGATGTAACGTTTGCCTACCTAGATGCAAAAGCACGACACACTCATGCTCTGGTTAACTGAGAACCAGCAATCTGTTTTTCATCGGCTTGCTGTTTACAATCAGCTCCATCTAAGACTTCCACCATCCACACCATGGTATAAATAGTTTGCTTTGAGGGAACTGCTTGCCCAGATAAGAAACATGCATATATTTTTTTTTCAAAATCCCGAAACAGGTGCGTAGCTGAACAAATAACCCCGTCGAACCGAAAGTCTTATAGTCATGCTCCGCTATGATACCCATTATCTCATCCTGGATAAGCATATCAGCCCAAACAATACACTATCTCCCTGATACTTAAGTCCAAGCTACCCCCACACAAAGACGACTAAGCTAAAACCCTAATCACCGGACGAACAGACTCAGGCACTACCTATTCCACACAGACACTTGATGTTCATGGAACGTGAAGAAGCTATGACTGGACCGCAACGAGGAGTTTTGAATGAGGCTAAACACCAGAACACTTGGCAATCCTACATCTCTATCTGTGCTTTCTTACTTGTACTGCTCTATGTCAGCCGGCGGCAACAAGATCGATTTCAACAGGACTTGGCCGGGGCCACTAAGGCCTAACTTCGTCTTCATAAAAAATGCGAAGCGCGGCTGAATTGGACTTTGAAAAAGCCATTGAGACTTAACGCTCTGTTAGATTTATGATAATGTTGACTAAATCCATAGTTGATATATATGGTTCGTTCTCTAATAAAGAGTAGAGAGGGCAGACTAAGCAAGAGGTTTGGCTTAAGTTTTAATACGCAAGGCAACTCTCATCCTAGCTTATCAAGTTGGTCAGCTTATGTCAATAGAGAAGAGGGATATACAACAAGCAGAGATTTCAGGAGAAGCGTGCCTAGCGCGCTCAGCCAACCTTGGGAACCCTAATGGCGTCAATTCACTTCTTGCGATTTGCCATTGACGGAATGGAAATGGTTTCGGAGATGAGGGGATCAACTTTTTGGGGTGACGAACTGGGTTACGCGTTAGACAAGACAGCCACAACTGCCGTGTAACCAAGGGGGTGTTGAAAATGACAGAGAGGGCTAGCATTAACGGTGTCAACTTCCAGTACTTTGTTATTGCAGCCAGTACCGCCGCCGGCAGCAGACTATTTACTTATCCAAGTGCAAGACGGCTGAAAACCCTAAAGTTTAGCAGACGTTGCGATTATTGATGTGTTGTTCGACCAAAAATGAGACGGATGGCATGGATTTGCACGGAATAGAAGATGGTAAAGGCTAAATATACCTGTGCGAGTCGACTTGCATCCTTCAAAGCCCATTAGATTCGCGTTTTGGGTTTTCAGTGTGACGCTTGAGGCATATTGGAGATGACATACTCAGCTCGGTCTAGCATCACTCCCCTGGCCTCTCGCAAATCAACCTCTTCTATGATCTGCGCTTCCGATGCCCGGCGCCAACCCTTAACAATAACATAGCCTAATCTCGGCACTTATACAAGCTCATGGCAAGGGAGATCAGCTTTATCCTCACTTCCAGCAGATCTTGAAGCATCATTCGGACATAACTCGCTTGAACTTTGAAACTACTACTCTGTATATGTTCATTACTAACAAAGTTTTTCGTGTCCTACTCGATAATATTCCAAACCAGAAATTCACCGTCGAAAAATATTGCTACATGACCATATTGGAAGAGACGTGCAATTACTTAGAGGCCTCTCCAAAACTGATGCACTTCCCCAGACCGCTACTAACAAGTCAACACTCCTTCTCTCATCTTTCTCGAAAACAACCCGCACATATAATAGTCCGTAATCAACCATCAGCAAGAAAGAATCCCAGTTCCACCAGAAGCGCAACACACAGGTTGATCAGGCCTAACATACCACACCTATGAGAGACTGACGGCAGCTAGGCTCATCTTCTCAGTCCATACTGTCACTAAAACTTGCTGCCCTGGATATTTCACCTCTGAAGCCCCTTTTCTCCCGCTTCTTACCCCTTGAGGTTAAAAAATACTAGAGATGAGATTGTCCAGGCATGAGAGGTTACTAACGCACTCTGGGCTGGAGTAGACCACGTTCAGATGACGCGAAAACTCTCGATAGACATAAGTAGCCAAATGATAGAGATTCAAGCTGGAGGCTTAATCATGTAATATACATGTGTGAGAAACTTCTGCAACGGCCTGTTAGTGCTCCTGTGGGTTAGATTAGTGCTGTTGGGGTTGTCGGCCAACGGCAACCAACTTTGCCACCACTTACATTAAGGGATCAGAGTTCTCTTACGTCCTATAGATTGTGTTAAAAGCACTAGTGTAATAGCCAGACTGGGGTGATATGTTTTTACTGATCCCCTGCCATTCGCCTTTGTGAAGCCCTTCGGAAACCCCCAGACTGCCGTCGCACCCAACTGTTGCTTGAGTTCTACTTTTTAAACCCAGCCAGTCGAGGAGGGAGTCCCCATATCAACTCTTGGGGCGTCAATATTTAGCGAAACTGGGGGACATGAATGCAATTCTATGCGTCTTTTACAGACAAGTTTAAGAGGGGTATTTATCCGAAGGTTGCTCGTGATATCAAACATGCCGGACGTGGCACAGGTGCTGACTTGAGCAGCGGAGAAAACATATCAGATTTAACGGCGAGAGGCTAGCGATGCTTGTGTAGTAAGGAAAAGTATTGGCTACCTCGTTTGTTTTTAATGACTAGCATCCCAGACCGCCTAACCTCTACGTGTCGGCCACTACCATCTCTTCCTCTAGGATGGCTCCGAAATTGCCCAAAGGTGAGGACAGCTTGTCAGGCCCGTTGAAGATGTGCTCGCTCTCCCTATTCACGGCCTTGGGGCTCCGAAGCTGGAAACCCGTTTGAGACGAAATGACATGTGCGTGTTGGTGTTCTTCAGTTTGGCTGAGGTACTCCGCGTGTTGCTACCACTCGCCCTCCTCCATGCCTCTCCCGCATTCCTTTTTCCCGATGTTAACGAATGCCTCCAGGTAAACGAAGGAGACAATGGACTTGACCTGGTGCATGGCTCCCAATAGGTTCACGGGTACCCGTGCGTGTAAAATTTCACGGGTACCCGTGGAAATGACTAAGCAACCTGCCCACGTCAATGAACGCGTCTTGTGTCATACACCTTTCACGCGTTATTTGCATCCAGCACTTCAGTCATATATTCTTAAAAATGGAAATAGCTCTCAAAGACTCAATACTCACATTCCCAGACGACAGTCTCCCCCCTGAAAGCGATCATAAATCTCGCGATGAGCTTTTTATGTCAATCAACAACTGGGCGGCGACAAAGGGATACGCATTCACTACCGGGAGATCAACAAAGGAGAAAAGCGGACGACGGACGATTACATATTCATGCGATAGGTCGTGTCATCCGCCAAGCACATCAATAGCGCGGCAAAGGCAAACTACTAGTAGGGGGACTGGTTGTCAATTTTCCGTCCTTGCTAAGGAATCTTTGGATAAGAGCACATGGAGCTTGAGACACCGGCCCGATAAGCGTTTTTCTTCTCATAATCATCCCCCAAGCCAACATCCGTCTGCTCACCCAACGCATCGCAAGCTATCTGAGGAGGATCAAGCCAAGGTGGCCGGTCTTTCAAACGCTGGCGTCGCACCCAGGGACATCAGAACATACATACGACAAACGACAGACTCTATAGCGACCCAGCAGGATATCTACAATCATATTGCAGCCGCTAAACGAGATGTTCGTGAAGGGCAGACCTCGATCCATGCACTTGCCAATCAACTTGATGAGGAAGGCTTCTGGAGTCGCATGCAGTTTGCACCAGATGGCCGAGTTACGGCTGTCTTGTTCGCTCATCCAGATTCCTTAGCCCTTCTCCAAGCCTACCCAGACATCATGTTACTAGACTGTACCTATAAGACTAATAAGTATGGTATGCCACTTCTTGATATAGTTGGCGTCGATGCTTGCCAACGGTCGTTCTGTATTGCGTTTGCATTTCTTAGCGGCGAGGCAGAAGATGACTATACCTGGGCTTTGGAGCGGGTCAAATCCTTGTATAGTCAGTGCAACGCTAGCCTACCTGCGGTTATCCTCACAGATCGCTGCTTAGCATGCATTAACGCTGTTGCAACCATCTTCCCCTCTTCTGCATCTTTGCTTTGCCTCTGGCATGCGAACAAGGCCGTTCTTCAACATTGTAATCCAGCTTTTGACTCTACTAAGCCAAAGACAGTCAACAATCCTGCAGCGCTCAAACCTTCAACTCAGAGCTGGGAAGAATTTTATAACTCCTGGCATTCGATCATCAGCTCGCCATCTGAGGTGGTTTTTGAGGAGCGCGTTTCCCAGTTTGAGGAACGCTATCTTCTAGACCATCTCGAAGAAGTCGGCTATGTTACGTCCGTTTGGTTGAAACCATACAAGGAGAAGCTAGTGAAAGCCTGGGTCGATCAGCATACCCATTTTGGCAATGTGGCTACTTCGCGAGTTGAGGGTATTCATGCACTACTTAAATCGCACTTGAAACGATCCACATTAGACCTTTTTGAAGCTTGGCAAGCAATGAAGCATGCTTTACTAAATCAGCTATCGGATCTAAAGTCAAATCAAGTTAAACAGCAAATACGGATACCAGTTGAGCTTTCAGGGTCAATGTACGGCGCAGTGCTTGGCTGGGTATCGCATGAAGCCTTGCGCAAAGTAGAAGAGCAACGGAAGCTGCTCACGAAGAAAGACACAAATCCTTCCACAGCCTGTACGGGGACGTTTTCTCGAGTATATGGTCTCCCATGCTTACACAAATTGAAGACTTTACAAGAACAGAATCTTGTTCTTCTACGTGAGCACTTCCATGCACATTGGCATTTGAGGCGTGATGGAGCGCCGCAGCTATTGCTGGAGCCTCGCCAGCGCATAGAGCCCAGGTTGCAATTAGAAAATCCCAGTATTCCCAAATCAAGCACTAGACGAGAGCCTAGCAGGTTCGAAGTTGTTGAAGTTGCTTCACGGGCCCCAAGCAAATGCAGTAGGTGTCATACAGTTGGCCATACTATGACTTCAAAGGCGTGCCCTCTGCGATACACGCATTTATTGCCTGAACCGACACCTACTCCAGATCCAGCTACAGTATCAACTGCGATATTTACCGGGACGACGACAGATACACAAGAACCTCCTTCAAACGCCGTGCAGGACGTACCAGAGTTGGTTCAACCGACTATTGCTATAGTAGTAGAGACCAGTATATCACCACCTCGGGTATTATCACCATTTGCGCATTCGCATTCACCTTCGCTGCCAGGATACGATTCACCTCAGGCGATATACGGACGGTACTATGCAGCAAGAAGCGCCTGGTACGGTGCTCAACCTCATGGGAGTGTCAAAACAAACCAGGAGTATCGAAGGGCAATGGGACTTCCGCTACGTTATGACAAAAAGTGTTATGAGTGGTGTCTTGACTATAAGCAGATGAAAGGACGCTGCACTACCTCACACGGGTCAAGGGATTGGACGAAGGAGGAGATGATGGCTTATCTGGACTGGGATAGGGCTGAACACAAACGGGTCGATGAGCTGATTATTGCGGAAGATGGACAAAACCCCTTTAAAAACAGTGAGAGAGGTATGAGCGAAGTCTGGAAACGAGTCGAGCAAGATAAGGCAGAGCAGGAGGCGTTATACGCTGGTAGTAAGCCCGAAGAGTGCATCGTAGTAAAGTCGTAAACTTTCCGGATAAGTTTGATGCAGGCCGTGCCTCTCATTGGCTCATGAGCCCTATATCAGAGTTGCTTAGTCATTTCCACGGGTACCCGTGAAATTTTACACGCACGGGTACCCGTGAACCTATTGGGAGCCCTGGTGCATCTGTGTCTTATGTAAGCCACTTAGAGACAGCACGTGACAGCGTGACACGCTCTGTTCCTGACGCGTCTGCGCGACTCTCCTTCCCCAGAAAAACATCAACAACAGCGAGAACGAAATTTTTGAAAACAGCATCAAATTGATCAAACCACGCCCGCTCGCGCTCTCAGAGGTCACTTTGGGCATAATGTCATCCTCGGCATTGATTCTGCTCCCAAAGAGCCTGCTCGTGGCCGCGGGCGGGCTCTGACCACGAAAAATTCGAGAGCAAGCCACAAAGTATGACACGTCAATAGACAACACCATCGACACCACCGCGGTTGAGTCACGGGCTATCACGTGAGCACAACGACCAAGCCCAAACAAACATCAACACCACAGCCACCGATAGGTTATGGGTCGCCTATCACCCCCGACAAAGTTTGCAACGTCCCGCGACAACAACGACGACAAGCCCGACAGAACGGTATCACCTCCTGCATAGAGAAAGCACCAGACACCAGGCATGCTACGATCGATGCCACAAAATACTACAGTTTGCAGACAGATTGGTCCCCTGTCGCCCCCTCCGCGAAGAAGGATTGTCGCCCCTTCAACGTATGACAATGTCTGCGGAATCTGTGTACGAGCTCTCATACTTAGTAATCGGACGAATCGAAGCGGTTGGAGCATTGTGTTTTGCGGATTGAGTCCGACTCCAGGCGGTGGATGGAGGTGGTGGTCGAAAGATGGAAACATAGAGCCACATAGGAACCCAGCATGAGGCAACAAAAAGATTTACAGATTCAACTGAGATATAGCACATGCGAGTCTGAGAGGATGCGGACAAGATAAAGAGACGAAGCTGAGGGCTGGGGGGAGACTATAGGTATACAGAACCAGACATGGTGCCTAGCACCAACAGAACCGAAGTAGGAGGACGCGAAAGAAGGATTCTAGAAGGCAACACCAAGCGAGAGAGCAGGCAGGAGGACAACAATCTTCAACAGAGGGCATAAACACACAAGAATAGATAGCATAGTGGGAGCTTGGGGACAGCTGGTCCTGATCCAACAACAGGGCGAAGTGGGGCGTCGCGGTTTATCGTCGATGCTTCGGCTGTCTGCCAAACCCCGCTTTCCGGGCATAGCTGCTAGCATAAGAGCGGCTTCATAACCGTGTAGGAATCAATCAATCAATCAATCAATCTCCTTCCCCAGAAACAGATTGACGTCACACTGGCCCATCCTCTCTCTTCGTTTGTCAAGTCGCCTCGTCTTGGTGCATTTAATTCATTATTCAACAAATTTGATACTAGTTGTGACCTAACCTTCCTGATTTTGTCACCTTAATAAGATGGAAGAGGTCGCAGTAGTAGAATCATCAGCAAGCAGCTCCCCCTCCCTCTCTACAACCCTGCTTAACATAACACAGCTAACAAACCATTATCACAGGTCGAGCATGTCTTCAAGGAGATTATTAGCCTCCAACCGAAGAGATCTACCCAAAAGAACCAGTCCGATATCCATTACAACAGCAAAAGGACAAGCTTGACGGCTTAATGAGTCAACACAATCTCTCCCCAAATTCCGCTAGCTAATGTACCCAAAGACTACTAATCCTTGAAGGGCACGTCTTCCCTACCACCGGCGCTCGTCGAGAACATCAAGAAAGCTATGGGCACTGCGATGGATGGCATGGCCGACACTGATCGCGTCGATTTTGCGCACGGCCTGGACGAAGCTGTGCCCCGACTTCGGATGGCCGCCAACGTCGCGAATGGCCCTATCAAACGCAGCAAGAAGTTAGAGAGAACCCGTGCTGTTTTTGTCCAGAAAATGAGGCTCTCTCGAAGCCGCTTTCCCTCCTCAGTTTCGGCCCTCTCGGCTCAGTAACGATGACAACTTTGGCTTCAACTTCACCCTCAAGCTCTCCAACTTAACGACATACGCCCTCACCTCAAGCACAACCATGATCTGCCCTCGCTCTGGCGTCGCTGCGTCTTCAGACGGCCCGCCTAAGCTCACCAAGAGTGCCCTCGATAGCGTTTGCCGCGATCTCGGCCTCGGCAGGGGCCTCTCTACCGATACCGAGCCTGTTTCCTCCCTCACCCCCGAAGCACCCAGACGTGCCCAGGTTGCCCAACTCTCGCCAATATCCGAGGAAAGCCTTTTGATGAACCGCACACCATTCAAAATGGGTACCACAAGCACAGCTACCCCCAAGGTAGTGCCCCCAGACATTTCCTTTCAGGATTTGACATATTACGATGGTGAGGGCTGACCTCCTTCTAGGCTGGTCGGATGATACAATTATCCCTGGGCTGTCAGATGCTGACGTTCTCCCTTCAGGCCCCGACTTCCAAGGAGATGTCACCATTACCGTGAACGAGGATGAAGAGACTCACAATGTTGCCGAGAATGTCGAGGACCACGAAGATTACGAGGGTTTCGGGGATTTCGATGATGATTCAGATTACGAGGATTTTGAGGATGGCAAGGATGATGACGGTGACGAAGACGTCTCAATCACCGTGAATCTCCCAGCCATCGCACAACATCGTCGCACTTTCACGAAATTAACCTCGCCAGGACCAGAAACACCAGCATCCCACTCGTCTGGGACATCCTCCGCTTTCAATGATTTCACCATTTTGCGTGCACCAACTGACGAAGAGCTCTGCACAGCCCGACAGCAGCTCACGTCCGGCCAGTGCCTGACGGGTGACGCCGTCAACAGCGTCATTCATGCCATCGCCGCCTCCACCTCGGCGGTCTCCCGCGACATCTTTGTTGCCCACAGCTTCTGGCTTCGCAACGAAAATGAGGTACCTGCTTGGCTCGCATTACATGCGCCGCATCTTTTGCGGTTCAGCGTCTGGTACATCCCGGTGTACCACCTCCACCCAGAGCATTGGACCCTCGCTGTTGTGGATCGCAAGAAATCTTCCACGCCATTCATCCGTCACTACGATTCCTTGCCGAATGCTATGGCAACAAGAAGCGTGGCCAACCGCCTTCGCCGCTACCTTACCAAGATATACGGTGGGGTTCTCGGATCCAACTTCATGGAGACCGGGTCTGTCCAAACGGTATGATTGACAGCCGCACTCCCTCACACCATGATTCATCTCCACGAAAGTCTCCTAACTTTTACTTAGCCGTCTTGTCCCGTTCAAGCCGACGCAGTGAGCTGCGGTGTCCACATGCTATGGAACATACAGGAGCTACTTTCCAATCAAGAGCTTTCACATAGAAACTTCTCCATCGACGCCGCTAGGCAGCAACTTCTACGCCTTCTTGAGGGACGGACAAGAAGCTTTCCTCCAGCTATCCAAATCACGCGCCGGAAGCGGGCAGCTTCGGTCCCCACGGAGGATACGACTAATAGAATGCGGTATCTTACCGAATCCATCTTGCCGACTTCAAGATTAAAACCTGCAGCCGAAGCCTTCAATCAGGTTCTTAAGTCTTGGCATGATTTTATGGATGTTGCTGTCGAGTCACTTCCTGGCTCCACGGCAGCGCAACTGGAGCAGGCACAGCGCGAGCTCGTCCAAATGCGGTCGCAGCACGCCATAGCCACTGAGAAGCTTGCTGAGCTGCGCCGGCAAGAGAAGAGCCGCATGTTGGCGGACATAATCCGCAGGAATGCAGAGCTGACAGACTCAGAATCTGGGGACGATACTAAAGAATCGACACAGCAATGGTACAAGCTAATTCATAAAGCTAGTCAGATGAAGGAGAACCTTGGCAACGGTGGCTCGGTTGATGAGCGCCTGTCTGCTACATCCGCTAAGGAACAGCGCAAGGACGCCAAGGCTAATATTGCCAGTCTCGCCAGCTCTATGAGCAGCCTAGAGAAGCGCGTGTAGGACCTCACAGTCGAGGTTCATCGGCAAGTGACGATCTCCAGGATTTCTAGCGACATGCGTAGGTTGGATGCTACTGGTGGAGACATCGATTGACCATTTCGTTCTGTCTTTGAGGCGGCGCTACAGTAGCGCATAATTGTTCATGCAGCTCAACTTTTTGCTTATAGTAGACTTTGCTCTCTATTACTCGCGGCCCCCAGGATCATCCAACACGAGCTAACGAAGACATGAGACATGATGTTTGGACGAGTGAGACGGGGAGACAAAAGGGATGGGACCTGATGAGGGGCCTACTATATCATGCGGTGGATATCTGCTATGAGCAGAACAACATGCCAAATTTGGGCACATTGCTCCCTACTAAACAGTTAGATTTTGAGAAGAACCTGTCAAGTAGACTTCTTCATTCTTCATTTAAGAATGAAGAAGTCTACTTGCTCACAACGCCTGATTGTCAGGCGGTTATTTTCTACGCGTCGTCGTGGGTGCGGTCGCTTCGGTCGGGCTTACGGTCGTGCAGTGTCGTGACCGGGCTGGCTCGCAGTTGGGCTCCCATTTAGTGAGTGGTGTGTGCTCCCTACAGGCATCCAGCCTACTACGGGGGACGCTGTCGCAGATTTCTCTCTATGCTCATCTCAGCGGCATCTTTTCGTTTAGGTACGTAAAATTTGAACAGGCAGAACAGGAGGGGGTTCGTGAGACAATACAGAGTCATCCACAACCTGTTTACCAAGCAAGCATTTGCTATGATAAAGGCTATTTCTTGTTCGTGAGGAGATTTTCATTCTACTGTCTTGCTGTGTAAACCTTGAGGCAAGTTTCATCAGCTGTCGTAAGGCGACAGTGAACAGACCAATTCTTTGCAAAGCCCATGTTTCTCTCTATACAAGTTATTTACCGCATGGCTCTCACCATTCGACAAAAGTCGCATTTTTTTAGAGTAAGACTATGGTTAGCTAGATCCTACGTACTTTTAATATCGATTGCATTTTGACAGTCGATGGAATGAGGAAGGATCAGGTATTGGATTTCAATTTCACATCTCATCGGTCGTCACATGGCGCGTCTTCCGGTGCCGCAGCAGCGTGTCCTGCCTCTGGTAGATTAGAAAAGAGGTAAAAAAAAAAAAAAAAAAAAAAAAAAAAAAAGCACTTGGAAACTTGGGACTTATATACAACCGTCAAAAACAAAATAACAAATTTGTCATGTTCGCTAAATCTGAAGAAAAGAGCTAGAAGATGAATACAGCCATGGTGTTGCCGACATGGGCGGTCATCCCCCCAATTCGTCTCTCGTCTATGTAGCTTGACAGGCAGGCAAGGAGAATAAGAAGCGGGATTAGATGGGGGAATACAGTTGTTCTTGGAAAACATCACGCACGAATGCGAGTAAAGCCCCCGCCAACATCCACAGCACATTGCTTCAGCAGTTCACGAATCAGGGCTGGGCAGTGGAATCGTCTAATTCTCATGAGATATATGGCTCGTAACTGGAACAAACCCGGGCCGAGATGAGTCAATCTCAGTCGGAGGATCAATCTTGCACATTCCTAATACTCTCCAAACACCAGATTCCACTCCATACCATAAAACCACCAAGACAACTTTGCAGCAGGGCTTTCAAATTATGTCCCGCAGCGACAGGGAGATGCACAAAGACACCATTGTCCCGGCCCGTTACTACTCTGGCGGGACTTATGCTCTCTATTTCTGAACAGGACCGGCACAAGTCAATTCACGCAACATACCACAATCCCTTCTGGACCTCGCTGATTGACGCCGGTGCGAGCGGGCGGCTGCTGGAATTGGGCTTGTCAGCTGTCAGCCTATTCAAGCTCCTAGTCAGGGCACGTCAACGAGGATAAACATTGTTGTTGTATTACCAGAATTCTTCCGCAGCATGCCTTTGATATTGTTTTGTGGCTATAGGTACGACTTCTCAAAGAGCTCAGAGGAGATGGAGAGAAAACAGGATGTATTCACCCTCCTCAGAGCATCATTGCGGCTTGTCTGCAAGGCGATGTGCCCGTCGATGTAGTCATCAGGAACTGGAGGGCGAGGATTCTGATGGTCTTCATGGGTGGAATGCGAGCGAATCTCATGGATCTGTTCTTGGTGATGTATTATGGATAACCGTCCTCGATATACCTGAAGCTAATGGCACAGCAACCTTCAGATAAACGACGAGAAGGCAACACGAGATATCAGAAACACCATGTAAGGCGACATGAACATCCACAGTGCTTATTATGAAGGCAACAAGTGTCAGCTCGCATGTCAGCTCAACATAGCCGCTCACGTACCAAATACAAATCACTATATTGCCGTTACGGACAATAACAATAAAACAAATTTCCGCTGTCGCTTATGGTGCACGGCAAGGTGAAGGTGTTGGACGATGACGTCAGGGGTTTACCTCCGCTTGATCATGGGTGTGTGTGTGAGGGAGGGATTATGTACGCAGAGGTATGCGATTCGCGGCAAGGCATGCAGCTGATGTTGGGCGAAGTTGCTAAAAGGAATGATAGTGTTGAGCGGTTTGTCCACCACGACCCCTGCTGTGAGGGGTATACGCCTCAATTCGCGCTGCCAGATTTCCGTCGTCTCCTCGGAGCAGTACCCTCGTCGCAAGTACGGTATTGGCAGTCACTGTGGTCGTTAATCTGTGGATTATTCGTATTGAGTACAGGCACGGGTCTTGGTCTACAGTCTCGACCTGTTTTTTTTGGTTAGTCTGGAGTTCAAAGTGGTCTGGCCACAACAGGTCTTCGGAAGGGTGCATCCGGGCAGCTTACTGGTGAAGGTAGGATCAGCTCCGTAGAGTATAATTAGGTTGGCCACCTGCACACAACGTCTCGGTCCGCCTCGAGTCAAACTTATACTCAACTATAGCGACTATGCACCAAAGGTACCTGGACTTTCCATTCAGATCAGTCAAGACGTGTGCAGTTAAACAAGTGAGACGAGAAACAGCAGAGGTTGTGCACCAGCGGTCACAAGCTGGAGAGTGTTTCGCTAATGATAACATTCGGTGGTCCTCAGCCAAGCGACGGCGTAGGTAACGGACGGGTGACGGCGAAGTTGCCCATAACAACAGGTGCACCCTTCTTAAAATTGACAGTCTTTCAAATCTTGGCGAGAATGGCCTCGCGGTGTTGGTAGGAGGACATGAGCAGCCGATAGCGTAGCGCACAGGCACACGAAGCTGATAATGGGAACGCAGTCCGCTGATAGGTGACAGCAGAGGATGGATCGGCACCGATGTTGCACTGGCTCCTCCAGGTGAATTGTTGCTAAACGCTTGGAGAGAAGGGATTAACAAAGACTGAAGTCAATTGGTCGGAGGTAGTTTCCTAACTGTTGATGTGGTTGTTGGCGTTGTGCTGAAAACGGCCGGGCCATAGACGTCAACTCAAAGTGGTCCTGAATGGGCGGTCAAACACACAGTCATTATCTTGACTGCGAGTCTTTTAATATTCGAACACAATAGGAAACTATGCATCAAGCCTGAGGAGTAAGGCGATAGCCGACTGGCAGATAATATTTGCCAAGGAGTGGGAAGTAGGCTGGGGCTGGCGGGACGGCAGCAGGAAGACCACCGTATAGCACCAAAGTTGGCTCTGCGGCAGTAATGCAGAGAGACAGCTATAGCTCGGAATGATACGGAGGCGTTTCCGGTCGGAGAGAAGGGTGATGTCACTGGTAGTGCTGGTTATGGCTGAGTTGGGCTACCTGACCTCGTGTCGTGACAGAGAGAGCGTCGAGTGTGTTCATCCAAAGGTTGGAGGGCAACAAGCTTGAGGACTGGAGCCGGAGGAATTGAATTAGCGTATGGCCTATCACGAGGCTCTAGAAGGTCATTTAGCCCGGCCGGACAAGAGTTGAAGGAGAAAGGCTTTAACATTGGTTGCAGGCCATCTGATTACGTTCCTAGTGTTGAGAAAGACGTTAGCAGTTGCTCGTCTGCGCTTCAGACGCATAATTCCTAGCACCCACAGCATATCTGAGATTCGGGATATATCTAGTCAAAATTCGTGCTTGTCGTATGCTGTTGGCTTTGATGGGAAAAGATGATGGCAGGCTGGAGGATGTTGTAGGGGCCTAACTGACGTCAGGCGATGGTGAATGGTCTTGTAAGCGAAAGGAGTGGGCTACGACTTTGAGGCGTTTAGTAGGGTGAGTACCTGGTCGGGCGGCTCTGGACTGCAGACTTTCACGCTTGACTAAAGAATAGAGGATGGCGCGCACTTGTATAGTTATAGCTGACGGTATAACTAAATTGCAAGGCAGCACCAAGAGTTGCAGTTTCCAAGAGGATATGGCAAAGTGGTCACGGCACGTGACACTGGGGCGTCCTCGAAGTTTGTCGGCCAACAACAGTCGGCTGGTTTGGGAGGTTCACAATTTACAAACTATACACTAACAGCACGTATTTAAGTTGCACGAATAGGGCACCTATTATAATTTGTTTTCGTCTACCACCTAGGTCTCATCGTGGAATAGCGCTTTCCCGCGCGATCACCTTGCCTAATAAGGAAGACCCATGCTAGGTTTTTTGCACGGCCCGGGGAGGAGGGAGTGTTAGTAGGCTACTATCCCATTACCCCTACCCAAACATGCCATAGAAGGTTCCTTGCCGAACTTCTTCCTTCGCTTGCCCTGTCACCCAGATTGCCTGAACGCTAGACGACTATGAGTGATATTATAATTTGGACAGGTTAGCTAAAGACGTAGAATTTCTTGCTTGATATCAGAAACAGCCAAAAAAAAAAAAAAAAAAAAAAAACACTCGCTGCAATGCAAAATGGATCAGGTGCGTGTACAACGAACTTCCTGGAGGGCACACTGCGTCTACAAGAAATGTTGGGCGTAGTGCGATTGATTTACTGGTAACCAACTTTGATGGCAATCTTGAAGGTACCTTTGGGTAAGATACACCTAGTTTTCAACATGTAGTAAAGAGAATTATATAAAAGTAGAGGTGCAGCCCGGATCCACCGTCTGACATTCAACATACAAAAATCAGTTTTGATTATGTGAGCAAAAATGGTGGACTCTTTGGATCTGGTCATAACTTGTGCTGGTGTTGCCTGCCTATTAGACGCTTACTCACCTACCATCCCATCGGGGACTGACTGACCTCATTTTTGCTGAGGCCTCACATTCCCATTTTAGTTCAAGTTTTACTCCGCATAACTCTGAATACATGAAGCGCTTGCCATCTTCCGCTTAAGTCTTAGTATCTCGGGAAGTGGCGAGCACTTTGAGTGCAGACATTATTGTTATTGATGATATGAGCGCCGTTGTTTATTAAGCTCTTATATTATCTTGGAGTTGGCGTAGGTTTAGGGGAGCCCAGCTAACTAAACGCTCTGTATTTGGCTGGTCAAGCTGCGACCGCTCCACCTTTACCCTTGCCCACCCCTACTTTAATTCCACCTTAGTGGGTGAGGCAAATGCGCAGTCCAATTAAAGTGGGCACCAGTCGTGTATTTCCACTTTTGTTAACCATGTCCATAGTTTGGACGTCTCTCCCTGATTCATCATTTCTACTCTAATCAAACGACAAACAATACCCTTCGCCTTGGCCGGCATCGCAAAGAAAAGAAAAAGAAAACAAAAAAAGACGATAGCTCCACTGATTCTGGGATTGTGATTTATCACCCCACTGCGACGGGACTCCCGACAATGGCCCCAGAACCGATATTAGCCCCCCAACAACGCCGCCGCCAACGGCGAGAGCCTCGCAGCCTCCTTAGCATCGCTTCCAACCGCTAATACTGCTCCCATCAGTAAAATCCTCGACTTCTGGTCAATCAACAGCCTGCACGAAGATATCGGTCCAGATCTGTCTACCCCAAACTACGGTGATTACCTCCGGAAGGGCTTATGGTCGCTATGCCGCAGAAGAGTTAGCTGACCGACGCTCGCGACTTACTGACAACCGAGATTCGATCCCGCTTTGCTGATAGTACGCGATACCGAGGCAGCCAGTAAGAATACCTAAGGACTTCGATGTGAAGCAGGTTTTGAAGAGAAAGGTATGCGCCCTATCCTATCCGAGATTACCTACTTGTATCCATCCAGCAGGCGACGTCAACCGTCTCGAGACTCTCTACTCTTGTTTTTATCTCCGTACTACTGATCGAGATAAAAAACATCAGCCTGACCATACTACTTTTCTTTAGTTCTCCGAATTCTCTTCCTCGCCGAAGCCCACAGCTATCCTTTTTTACAAGCTGTCTACTATCTCGCTAAGACCATGGTCGACTGGCAACACGCCCTGGATCTTTTCGGCGAGACTCCATATCGCCGTGGCCATCTGGCCCTCAGCAGCAGTAGAGGTAACGACCCTGGCGCTCCCGCATCATTTTGCCCGGCGGCACCAGCCACAGGGTAGAGGTGAGAGACGAGTGCTCAGGATGCTGCAGAAGACGTGTCCGACAGATTGCCCGACAAGAGCCCGAAGCACCCTGAGCACCTCCACCTGAATCAAAATGCAACCCCTAAACCCGAACTGACGTAAAGAATCACAACATTTACCCATCCGCCGACAGTAGCTCCTCAGACGCTCCAAGGTCATGAAAACCATCCGCAAAATAGTTTTCGCCGACACTGCCGCCCCTGCTGCTGCTGCCGGTAGTCTTCAACCAAGCCAGGACCAAATCGGACCCGGAGGGAAATCACAGCAATCCTTGTGATGCCTCCCCTTCTGCCCATCTCTCCATCGCCATATCTTGGCCGTCACTGCCATCAACTGTAGCGTTGGGAACCATCTTCCCAACACCGTCCACTACGCCCTGTTCTGAAGCCACTCCGACGACTCTGCCTTGGACGACAAGAAACTCACCAAACCTGCTCTCGACGCCCTGGGCATTTTCTCTTCCCATTGCATACTCGACTGCAGCCTACTCGGTAGTTCCTCACTGAGGTACTGCGTCCATGATTTAAGAGGCGTCGGGCGCAGGTGGTTAGGGGTTAGGGTATCACAAGCGCCTGACTATGTACGTCACATTACAGCCAGCAGCCATCTCAACCAAATCTTGTATATCACCAAAGGCCGTTTAGCCTACTTGCGTCTCTTGACTGCAATCAGTCGCCTTACCTCGGCCGATACATCTGTAATCATCTGTTGTATCTGCTGGAGGGGTGCCATATAGCTGCTGGACCTGCTCAAATGGTTCGCATGACGCGGCGGCCGCACAATTATGACGTTTTTTTTTTTATATCCGCCACGGCTAATGGCTATCTCGACGGTAGGAGCATCGTCATACCAGAACCCTACTCGGCCGCAGACCTGGACTAGGGCACCCAGTGATGATTACAACCCCAGATACGTGCACGGATACATCTTGTCCAGGGGATTGCTTCGGTTCAGCTCAGTTCACTTATTCCTTCCCAGGTCGCATTCTGCGGCTCTCTGAAGCTGCGACGGAGGTACCGATATCGCCGGGGACATGGAGGTTCTGACTAACTCTGACGCCTTCGCAGACTTCAGCGACAGTCATTTCACCACTACCACACCGAATGCTCGCAAGATATGGGGCACCGGCGTGGACGGATACCGTTGAGCCGACGGGGTCTCGCACAATGGGTCGACATCACGTCCTCGGCCACAGCCTAGGGAGATGGGTTCTTGCCGCCATGGCGCAAGAAGCGGACTCCTTTGGTGCTCTGCCTCAAAAATGAAGCGCAGATCAGATACCCTCGAGATGGATTCAGTGCCCTCTGATTCAACGTTGACCTCTCTTGACCTGCTTCCTCGACCACCTCTCCTTCAGAAACTGGCCCCACAGCAGTCGACGCCAACATTGGCGACAGTTTTATTCACATTCTATGACCCACCACATCGAGCTCTGCTTCTTAGACTCCTTCCAAGCATCCTGACCGCCATGACAACATCCTCCTCGACTACTCTAGTCCTATGTGCACGACCCTTACCCTCTTACATACATACTTGGATGCGACCTAAGAAACTCTGGGCAAGACGCGTCAGGTGATCATATCGAAAGGATTGGACCGAACCAACTATTTATCAGCGTGAATCAACTTCACGAAACACATTGTAGTAAGGTGTGGCCTTCTGCCACGGTGTGTATGATGGGGAATGGAAATCGAGATAACTGTATAGATTCGTTGATGTCGTCTCACTTCTACACTGAGTAAAGTTCTCCACGAGAGGCTAATGCATCTAGTATTATTATCCAGTATTTACATCCTATCTAGTTCCTACCCTCTCAGCTTAGTGCTAAGGTCAGGTCCGATTTTCTCCAGGTGGCCTGGTTTACTTCTCAGAATATGAGCCTTATCCATTAGTTCGAAGAGAGGCTGCTCACTGGATCGCACAAGACGAGGAGGAGATGGACCGCCTTCTTGTTTTCATGGTGCCAGAGCCATGGAGAATGGGCGTCTGGTGCTACTTCCTATTGCCTTTCAAAGGGCCAGATGACGACCGGCTCATGTAAGAAGGCCACTTTTACTACACTAATAACATTACTCAAACACACGGATATCCCCTGCCAGATACATACCACGGCCAGGACAGACTAGCAATATCAGCAAAATATCCTTCCTCCGCCCACGCTTTCATGACCCCGGAAGCCTTGTCCATAGCACGATCCGTCCGCCGTCCGACGACTTCCAACTCTCTGCCGAGGCTCTGTACGCTCGCAAGTAGCTGTTCGACAGCCCCTCGGCCCGCTACACCGGGCGCGTCCGAGAGGAAGTCAAGCATCGCGTCCGACGTATCCGAAACCACACCCGCCGGCAACAACCCCCGAAGCATAATCGCGTATAATGGGAGCCGCGCTTCTGGATCGTTCAGGGAGAGGCTCGCAGTGACGAGATTGCTGCATTTGTTGATGTAGGCCATAGAAGTGGCGGCGAGCGCTCTTTGGTGATTTGTCATCTCTTCAAAGATGGGTTGTAAAGGCGGTAGTGTCGGAGCGGCGGCAGAAGAGTGCGGAACTTCAACTCGCGGTTTTGATATGCATCTTTGGAGGGAGGACTGTCCTAAAAGAGGCGACCTCGGTGGCTGCTGGGAATGTATGCTGTTGCGGAAGTGTCGGGCAGAAACGGACGTACCTTCGGGCACTGAGGCTAGAGATACCGGCCGAGTGACCGCCAGGGTGACGGATGGTCTCGGGTTGGGGTCCATCTCGACTTCGGGCCCCGGCGGGGATTCTGGGCCAGTCTCGTCTCCCCCTCCCTCCATCCCATGCTTGTCTTCTCGAACATGGATATGTAAAGCACAACGGCCGCCGGCATCCCCATCGCGCTGACATCCCTGGCAGATGCTCCTCAAAAGCGTATCGCGAAGCTGCTCCGGCCAGACATACACTTTCCTCCTCTTTTCCTTGTCGTACCTGAACCTGAACTCTGAGCTGTGCTCGTTCATGATGCGCTTGAGATGGTAGTCAAGTGAGCTCCTCATCCTGGTCTCGATGGCGAGCCACTCGGCGACATCGAGCGATTCAACGTTCACGTCGAGCAGCTGCGCCAGTCCGCGCATGGAGAAGGACTTGGGCATGTGCGGTTCGAAGCTGTGCTTGGCAAGGAAATATTGCATGATGAGCTTGTCCCGGGGGCGCCACACGAGTTGAACGCGGTCGCCGCTCGATTTGTAGATGAGCTGGCCCATCGACACGCCGCGGAAGATGTAGCTAAGTCGATCCTGCGGCAACCCTCAAGTCAGTCATCCAGCAACATAATAATGACGGACCTACTCACGGCAGGGTCGCCATTTTCGAGACACCGCGGTTCCTGGAGGTGTTGGTTCATGATGGTCACGAAGCAAGGCACTGCCGTGTTGCGAGTTGAAAAGACGAAGATGGGCGTCCCTCATACTCACAACCAACTTGTCCCTCTTTTGGACGGCGACGACAAGACAAGCACAATGCTATACAAACGTGGTGTCCGTACGTACGTATTTACACCATGATGAGGGAGACGGCGGTGAAGAATTGCATGTCCGAGACTTGCAGGATGGGCTGAGACATGCTAGTGGAATTGGTGAGGTGGGATGAAAAGGGCTGCCGTCCGGGAAAGGCGGCGACGAAACGAGCAACCGCTGATGAAGAATATGTATGCTCCAGAGGATCGGGGATATGTAGAGTTGAGCTTCGAGCCTTGCTAGGCCACTACAACAGCAAAAGAAGAAGGTCAGCAAGGTCATCAGATCAGTTACCTGGAGCATTCAAGAAGCATGGTTAGTTGGTAATATTGCTTTCCAAGGTAAGGATACAACTTGATCTAGCAGTTGACGAGATAAAAGAGACGGTTCAGAGCGATTCTCTGACTCTCGGCAGCTTATTCACACCGGTGGGACCAACACAAACCCTCACAGCGAACCTATTTCTCGTCCGTCCCGCTGCATAGAAACGGGGGTGGTGTTGATGTTCGGGTTCCTACCTCGACCCCTCTTCCGATGTCTTTGCCCCCCAGGCGGTCCATTCGTCTCCTTTGGCTCCGTTTGCATCGTCGGCGGATGTGAACCAGGCAGAAGGGTCGGCGATGCGGTGAGAAATTCTCTGGCGAAATGCTGTCGCCTTAAGTGGTCAGGAGGTGTCGTGAATGAGGATGTCGAGCCTACACCCCGTTTGTCAGTTGGAAAGATGACGTCTCATGAAGCAGAGCCTCAGAGACAGAGGGGCCGGGGGGCGCTTGACGAACTGGAACCCATGGACGGGGGATATCCTCCGACGGCGTTAGGTGTCGGCGGGGTCGGTTGCCACGACTGGAGGACCTCATCATTGTCGTCTTTGTCGTCGTCGTCGTCGTCATCGTCGACTACGACGCCCCGTTCAGGATTCTTGGTCTTGTTCTCGAGCATGGTCTTCAGCTTGGCCAATTGCACGTTCTGCTCGAGAAGCCTGGCCACAGTCAAGGAGATCTGATGCTGGGATTCCGAGGCCTGCCGGGCGTGGTCCGCGTACGTCTTTTCGTGCTTCTTGAAGAGCCGTGTCTGTTCTTCGATCGCGTCTCTGGCCTCGTCTATTTGCCTCTTGATATAATTGACGGGGCTGAGGGCGACGATAGGAGTAGCTAGAGGAGCAGCCGGAGAATTCGCGCGTCTGCCGAGGTCCGCCATGTATCGTGGCATCGGGGTGGTCGAAGCGGGCATCGTGGGAGGAACTGCTCCGTTTGAGATCAGCACTTGGGGTTGTTGCTCGACATGCGAGATGAAGGGAGCCCTACTCTGCTGGCCATCAAGAGACGCACTCTGCACACTGCCGGGCCTCTGATTCAACAGAGACATAACCTCTTGCTGCTGCTCCTGATGCTGCCCAGAATAGACATCCTCCCACAACGACGGAGCGGCCGCCGTTGTCGGCTTATGAGAGGCCGGCGATGGCTGGAGAGATGCCAAGTACTGGCCATACTGCTTGCTATACTTGCCCATCTTGTCCTCGACGAGGTCCAGCGGAATATCGCTTAGGCTCGCGGGCAGCTGAGAGTCGGCCACGCTTGAGAGGTCGTCGGCGTTCAAGACCGGGTGGTCGGCGAGAAGACGGAGCCATTCTGCGTACATCCGGGAGAGCGAGGGGTCGCAGGTCTGGTCGTCCGGCCGTATCTTAGCATCGGCCAGGGCACGGAAGTAGGCCTCATCGTTGGGGAACTGACTGCGCCAGATGAGTGCGGCGTTGGCCGTGTCGGTATAGGGGGCCATGGTTGGCGATGGGCTCGCGTGTGTTGGCGAGGTATCTGATGGATTGAGTAGGCGGCTGCAAAGAGAATCTGTCTTGTCGAGATGAAAGTATGTATGGGTGTTTATTATGCGGTGTGTGCATATGTATGTATGTGTGTGTATGTGTGTGTATGTGTGTGTATGTGTGTGTGTTTGCTTTTCCCCGTTTGTCATGTTCCCACCCGTGATAGTTCGTTCCATTCTTTCAATGCCCACCATCAACCACGGCGAACTCCTCTTGAGACCCTGCCATCATGTCAAGGAGGGCCGGTTAAGAACTTTGCAGGGCAGGTTTACGACTCTAGAGATTCCAACCAATGCACACCCCTGCTCGTCATGCGTCTGTAGCCCAGAAGAACTCACCAGGAGCGGCATCAACCCGAACGGAGCGAAGGAAGCAAAAGCGTCAATTTGGTACCCTTGCTGTATATACGGGTAAAAGGGGATGATTGTATGGATATATCTACGAGGTGTCGCCCGCCCACATGTGGTTCTCTTGGTTTCTTCCTCTTTGCATCATTTCGCTCCTTGGCTGCGAACTACTGCGACGCGCCGGTGCTGTTTACCAATGGATGGTGTACAACTCATTGTGCGTTCGTCCTTGTGGCGTTCGCCCTCGTGATGGTTTCTCTTGAGCGTAAGTCCATCTGGTTTCTAGATAGGGGTCTCGACTGACATTTCTTTGCAGCCATGAGCAAATCCCAAATCCGTCATAAAACGGTTCCTCCGGTAACCATGGCTACAACCGACGGGAAGGCGACGGGATTTGAGAGAGGGAGGCCGATCACAACAAGCAATCAGACAGACTTGGCCACCCACACCCTTCATCTTGAACCCCATCCGCCATGGATGATACTCTCTCTCTCTCTCTCTCCGTCTGTCTGTCTGTCTCCAACCCACGAACCAGGTACCGCGTACTGCAAACTCCGACCCTCGCTCGCTCGCCCGCGTCACCGCAACCGACCGCGACCGCCACTACGACAGCGTCCCTTGTCCAGCGTAACACCAAGATCCGGCCACGAGCATACAAACCCTCTCTAGGTTTCTCTCCTGATTCCTGCGGGCGCGCGGTAGGAATCGGATGAAGCTTGGTGAGGGTTTTGATGCAAGGGCCAGCTGGGACGAGCAGAGACCGTCGTGGCGTGTGTCTTGTGTCCTGGGTTGCGTCGCTGATCCCGCGGGCGCATCGCTGAGTGAGTCGTCGTCGAGCATCTGCTGTGTGGCCTGTACAGGTGTGAATTGGAACTTCAACTTGAAATCGGACTTTGTTGTCTGGTCGTGATCGGGTGTCGTTTATTTGGTTATCTGTATGCTTTCATATGTCGCCGTAGATGAGAAGCGGCTGTTTGAGTGTGAGGCAGTTCAGGATGGGCCTGGCCAGCCCTTCTTGATGCTTGCCGATCCCAAGTCGGACTCGTTGTGATCTACGATGTGACGTGCGATGGAGGATTCGAGGTCCCGGGTTCAGAGTAATATCCACTGGCACCCCCTCCCCCTCTCTCCTTTTCCGGCGGCAGTAGAAGGAGGGGAGAAATAGAACACACACACACACACACACACACACACACACACAAAAAAAAAAAAAAGGAGGGGGGAGAGGGGGAAGGGGTGACATGCCCTGGACAATATCAGGGGTATAAGATAGTCGGTTGTCTTGCTCCCCCTTTTCGGGTACCTGCATGGTATATATGATTGTATAACATTACAAAACATGACACTCCTTACTCATAACAAGAAATTCATTACACTGTTTATGCGTCCATGTGCTCAGGCTCCCGCGTCGTTAGTTGCCGTCGGCACCAAAAGCGTTCCCTCTTGAGTCTCCATCGTCTTATTCTCGCCCCTAGCCATTGCCGATGCCGCATAGGAAAAGTCCATCAGGTCCATTAGCCACGGGTGTTGACGCATCTGCTGCTCGAGGTCCACGTCCCCATCCCCATCTCCCTCAAAGATGACCGGCGTGCGTGTTGGTCGAGGCGGAAACGCGGAATGGAGATCGGCTATGCCGGCGGCCAGTTTCGCAGCCTCTTCGACGGCGTCTGCCGTATACTTGGTGTACGACACCTGGAGCGTGATGGTGTACGGTTTTCCCGGCGCCAAGGGGAAAGCTACGTCCTCGACATTCACGTCCCACGACACAGGCTCCAGGCCCTTGCTCAAGGAGCGAAGATACTTCCACAACTCGCTCCCAAGCTCGCAAGCCTTCACAAGCCCAAGTGCGGCCCGCGCGAGGGCATGCTCGAATCCTTCCAGGCCTCGGAATATCTCGAACAACATTACGGCGTTCCTCTCGACGACATCGGTCATGTGAGCATCCCTGGCGCCATGTGGCTCACCCAAATGCTCAATGCCGGCCCGGATCATATTGCCAACCCTTTGCAAGATGGGCTGATGCTGATCCGTAGGACTTGGCCGCAGGGGGTTCTGAGACGTGGTCGGTATTGCGGTGAAGTAGGCAGACGAGGTCCATCCGTCCGGGTAGAACCGTTTCAGTCCCGGAGCGAGTCCGTGTTTCCGAAGCACGACGGCGAGCCGTCTGAGATCCGCCCTCATCTCGAACATGTGCCGCGCAACGGAGACGACGTCGTCCTCGACTCCAAGCGTGTGGTTCGTAATCTCGGCACAAGACTCGATGGGATGCCGGTCAAGGCGACCTCTGAGGTGCCACTGGGGGTCCCGCATCGTTTCGGCGCGCCGGCGGGATTGTCGGTCGGCCCATTCGTCGAGATAGGCCCTTGTCCTGTCGACGACGTCCTCTGACACATCTGTGACGTGGCTGGGCAGCAGGGCGCGGAAGCCGTCTTCGCAAGCAAAGTGCCAGCTGCGCACCCCATACTGATCCCAATCGCAGAGCTTGCACGACCTGACCCAGTCAGAGTCTTCGAGAAGCCGGTATATATGAGCCACCCAGCGGGTTTCCAAGCCTGCGTCGATCCCTTCGAAAGTACGCCTTAACGCCCGGAGTGTCTTGGTAGGCCAGTCCTGCAGCATCTCCCGGCTTACGGAGCGCCAGTGGGCCTTCATCGTCGAGGCGTGCCAGAACAAGGACGCGCATACCATCTCGACCTCCTCGTCCCGGTGGAGTTGCGGGCGTCGTGTGATGCGGATCGTGTTGTGGCAGAGGGATTCGACAATGTCAAAGGCTTCGTCAAAGTCGGGATTTCTGTCAACCGCTGCGTAGGCGAGGAGGTCTTGAACCGAAGAGATGCGGAGGCGATCGATTCGGAGGACTTGATGGAATAGCGCGAGGGTGTTGTTCGTCGTTGAGACGTTGTGGCGGAAGATGAACATCTGGGCAGGGGAAGCGAAAGCCCATAGGATCAGAGCGGCGACCAGTCCGAGGAAGCTCAGCACCATTAAAAAGATACGGATAGAATCGCTAAAGGAACCTAGACGTTCAAATAGTGATGGCCTCGCCGCTTCCATCACCGACGAACCTGGGTCAGAGACCGAGACCGCCGCGTCATCATCCTCCTCCATCGGCGTCGTTAGGTCCATGATGGCGCGCAGCTCGTGGACATAGCACGGCGGCGTCGGCGTGGGATACACTAACGACGACTTGAAGCAGGTGATGACTGTCGATTGAAAGTGGAGAGAGACCGGCAGGGAGTCTTCTGGCGTGAAGTCGTCGTGGAAGCATAGCTCTAGCGACTGCAGGCTGGCGCCGTCGTCTTCGCTGTCTTCAGCGTCTTCGTCTTGGTCCGCGCGTCGGCGATCTGACCGAGATGGGAGTTTGAGAGAGATGCGGACCATGGAGAAGCCGTCTGACGGGTGTTCACATGGCTCGGCGTGTGATCTTAAAGGACAGTGTGAGGCCATTCTGGCGATGTTGGGCGAGGTGTGCTCTCGTGGCTAAACGCCTTCACATGCGTAGGATGATAGGGAGCAGAGCTTCTATGTAAAGAGAACAGACGACAAGGTGACTCCTAGAGCTGGACGGCGGAATACATTATGTTCATGGCCAAAATAGAACTATACATGAAAACAAAAGAGAAGGAAATGATGTTTGTTTGCTGCCCAGCAATGCCCCCTTCTTCCGCCCAAACACAACACGGCCTTGACAAACGACACCACACCGCATTGATCATCCACGGACCAAGTCAATAAACTCGCCAATAAGGGCCCTCAGCTCGAACTCGGTTAACCCGACCCCCTGGGCGCCCATCTCCACGTCGTCCCCAAGGCTACTCACGACTGTGACGTACTGAGATAGCCTCCGCAGTTGGTCCTCTAACAGACCGGCGCGCTTCGCCATGTCTCCCATGACAAGAAAGGCTCTCTCACACCCGAGGGAGCTGGCGCGGTGCCATGTGCGAAGGAGACGTGTCGTCTGTCCCGGCGGCATGGCCGCAGCTGGGTCCGTCTCTGCCTGGCCGCCGCCGCCGCCGTCGTAGTTATCGGGGATCCCGCGCTCCATCTTGTTGTCGCCAGCGCCCACCATGGCGAGTTGAACTTCGGACCATCGGTTCCCCCTCCCAGCCGCCTGCAAAAAGTACGTCTTCATCTCGCATATGTGCTCTTTGACCCCCTTCATCGACGTGTCCGGCATGGTGCGCACAGCATCATACATGGATTGCCTCGACTTCCGAGCTCTCTCCACCATCTTGCTGAAATCGTTAAGCCGCGCGTGAACAAGCAGCTTCCTCGCCTCCTCGGCGCCATCGGCACCGAAAAGCGCGAGAATCCGGCCCCGAACCCCGGACGTCCCCCCGACTTCCTCCTCAGCTGGTCTCTGGCGCATGTCCTTGAGCATCCGTTCTGCTTGTGCTGATTCCGTGTCGTGCTGTTCCGTCTCTACTGCTTCCAAGAGGGCGTTCTGACCCTTGATAAAATCGAAATCGGGATCTATTGCGTCCCAGAGGCGATTCCAGGCTATCGATCCCGTAAGGAGGCTTTTTTCATTTCTGGATCCGTTGATGAAATCTTTGGCTCTCCCTTCCAACAACACGTCCCAGACGATGCTTACACTCTTTTGAACCTCTGCTGGCTGTCCCTCTCCGACGGGGATCTTGCTGAGGTAGGCCACGCAATTCTCCAAGTCTCTGAACTCGCGTGCGAGGCCCTTGGGGGTGAAGATAGTCGCCTGGGTCGGGGTGAAAGATGGTGCTGCCACGAGGGATGCCGTCGTTGTCATGGGGGCCGAGTTGCTGGCGAGCGATCCGGTGTGGAATAGGTTTGTCATCCTTGGGAGTACGACTGTGTTGAATGTGCTCCCCAGAGTGAGCACGAACGACAGAGCTGTGGCTAGGTGTGATGCCTGCCATATGAACTCCACGGTCGCCAGCAAAGCGGTCACCACGACGGTGATGACGACAGTGAAGATGAGAAGTATTCGAAGAGGTGGCCAAAGGGCAAAGAGAATGGCCGCGATGAGTCGAGAGGGTCCCCTCACAAGCGTCCAGGTCACCATGACAACTTTGCAGATGTCGGACCAAACCGTGCTTCCAAACTCGACCGATCGCGTCCAGAATTGGCCATAACGGTTGGCAGTTGCACCCTTTTTATTGTTCTTGCTGGGCTTCTGTGTCTCTAGCCTTGTCGTGTGCGCGATCTCAAGCTGTGGAGGGATCTTGGGGGTTGAAGCTAACGCCGGCGAGACTATTTGTTGCTCTCGCGATAGAGAAGCGGACTCATCTCTACCGGCCTCTGTGGCGGTGTTGGTAGTTGTTTTTAGTGCATTGCCTAGTCGAGGCGTTCGCAGACCCCTTGCGGTCAATTTTTGCTGCGTTCGGAACGCCTTGTTGAAAATCTCGTCGTCTGTACGGTCCATGTTAAAAGTGAAGGTCTAACTGATATGAAGTTTTTGGCTCTAGGGATCGTGAATTGCGAACCTTCCTTTATTAAATAATGAAGGGTGAATGGAGCATCAAAAAGTGTCTAATATCAAATATGCCAAAGCAACACAATGCGTATCAAACTATGGCAGTGCCATATGTCTAAACGAAACCAGCTAGGCCAAGGCTGAAACTACGAACAAAGTCGAAACTTGGCCGAAGATGGAGCCTTTGGCCTTTCATTGTCCCATGAAATTGTCCAGAACGATCTTTTTGCTTCTACAACATAGATATATGTGTATTTTCATATATATTTGTCTATATATATATATATATGTGTGTGTGTGTGTGTGTGTGTGTGTGTGTGTGTCATTAACCACCAGAAGACTCCTGGTTGACTAGATTTTGAATACCACGCAAACCTTGCACAACCAGCTCACCAATATGACCCAAACGCATCACCGTAGACCCGAGATGATCAAAGCCACCAGTGCCCGTCGCAAAGGGCACCTCATCTTCGTATTATTGCTTATCCTTCTTCTTCTTCTCTTCTTCTCCTCCTCCTCCTTCTACCCCTCTTCCTCCTCTGCCTCCTCCTCTCCCTCTTCGTTCCAAGAAATTGACCAAGAGATGGACAACATCTGCTCGGCCCTCGACGCCCTCCGCAACCTCTCCCCTCGCCGCCCGGTATCCTTCCAAGACCCTTTCTCCTTTCTCGGCCTCAACCCGCACGCGAAGCCCTTCAGCCCGCCCGAATCCTCAGCGCACCCCGGCGCCGTGAACCATGAAGCGGCCCGTGAGACGGTGATCCGCGCCGTCTCGCGGATGAGGAGATCTGTCTGGCCGCTGCATTCAGGCGGGGACGCTGGCGCGACCGAGGTCATGGAGGTGACTTTCCACATCGGCCACGCGCTTGAGGATGATGCCACGCGAACGAGATATCTGGTTGATCTGCAGCCCATGTTCGACAAGATGGCGAAGCTTCCCGACGGGAAGTGGCGTGCCGCGAGCGAGTTCTGCGGGAATTTCTGGCAGCAGATGGGGTGGTGGTGATTCGGTGAGCCTATGTCGTTGACGTCCAAACAAGTTAGGGTGGTAGACGACCAACAAGGGCGGCATGTTGGAGACATGGAAACAGAGATGCAGGGTTCCAGCGTCGGTTTTGGACAATGAATGAACAGAGACATACCGTCAGCCAGTGTCTTGATCATCTGACAATCAAGGAACCCAAAAAAGCTGTTCTATCCTTAGGAGCGGTCCGGTGTTTACGAGACAAACGCAATCGTCTCATGGATACCCTGGCTCATCTTTGTCATCATTTCTTCCATAGTGCCCATCATCAGATTATATAGGCCATCCAAACACCACGACGAATGCCGACTCCGCACTCCCACTCCCTCTGCGGACATCTTCGCTGCTAGGTCTGCCGGTCGACCACTGTGAGATTTTTGGTTCTTCTCAACGACGCACAGGCGTAAATGTCATGCGACAGACGCTGGAAAGGCAAGCCCCCTACCGGCAAACAAACACTCGGCTGCCCCTCCGTACCGTGTCCGAGAAATTCAGTAGGCAAAAAATTTGGTCCATATTCGGTAGTGGTGAAAGAACAACTGACTAACTATACGCACCCCCGACTGGATAGGCAGCATCGAGAAGCTCACGTCCGAACACAGACGCCAGATGGCCTCCAAGACGATCACCGACAGGTCCGCGGCTGCCCGACAGGTCTACCGATTCCGGGCCCATCTCCTCGAGAACGATGCACAAAGCAAGAAGCTCGCCGTCATCGACGACGTTGACCCGGGTCATGAGTATCTCAAGGCTCTCGGCTGGGACGAGGTGCCGGACGGCAAGGTGGAGGAGGGCTGGCGGAAAACTTGGGACGACCATAAGGACGGCGTGGGGAACTTTGGCACGTGGATGAACGTTCACTTCAAGAGATGGAGGGAACAATGGGTGAAGCTGGACGAGGAGGCGGCTCGGCGTACAGAAGCCCAGGTATCGAAACATCTACCGAGAGACGAGAGAATGACGGAGTGGCTAACGGATTCTAGAGCGCTTCTGACGCCGAGGTTCCACAGCTCGATGCAGACCCTGTCCTCGGCCAGGAGTTTCCCACTTTGGCCGCCGCCGCAGTTGATATAGAGCAGCAAACGAGCCCGCCTGCAGCTGAAGTAGCGGCCGAACAGATAGTCGCGCAGGGACTGTCGCATGGGCAGGACGGGGCGGAGACACGGTCGGTCAGAACATGGTCGGAGGATGACATGAAGAGACTGAGAGCGTTCTATTATTGGTATCGGCATGTTTTGCGACCGAGCCGTAAAGCTATCAGGGATACAGAACAGGCTGGACGACAGGCTGGAGGTTGATCCTTGGTTCCTTATTCGAATGGAAGTCGTCGTAGAGCGAATCCGCATCTTGTCTGTGGGATGATAATGAGCCTGTTCACCACATCTGTTAGCTGAACTTGAAAGTCTTAACAGGCCTTAGCTGTGAGCGGTCTTGAACAGACTCACAATATATGGGAAACCTGGCTGAACATGCAAAGAGAAGCCTTGGGCACGACGACAACAGTGACTCATGGTCAGCCAGGCCTTCATGAGCCAGCACCACAGACCGTCGACGACCTCTCGGCGGATGCCAGAGAACGAGGCATACGATGCTCGGATTGATGTCGCAGTGTTGTGAGAGTAACAGCTGGCAGTGACGTGTACGCTGCGCGTCCAGAGCAGCTGAGGCGGTGTTGCGGCGGTTAAAGCTATTGCGATAGCAGTTGGGTTGGTGTTTGTTGGCATCTATCTGCTTACTGCTGAAATGATATTAGTTGCTCATCTCTGATGCTAATAGGTAGGTTGATCGCCTCGGACAGGCTTTTCTCACGCGCCGCATTCGCTCTTTGGAGTTTGCCTTCCATGTTCTAGATGTCTTGTTCGAGTGTCGTCAACTCGGCACGAATGTTGGTCTGTGTCTTCGGGTCTCCCTCCAGCTTGACTGGCATGCCTCGCAGCCGTTTTGCATCTCGACGCTGCGATTCGAGTGCGGGCTGCTAATCCCTCATCGTCTTCTGCATGGCACGGAGCTGGCGCAAAATGCCGTCCATGTCAGACACCGTCTGCAACGCCCGATACAGTCGTATCTGCCGTTCTGCGGGTTTCGCGGCCTTGTTGGCTCGGAGAGTCTGTATAAGTCCCCTAAGACTTGCGCACACTTTGTCCGCATCTGCCACTTTGAGCGAGACGGGCATTGCGGAACCGCCGACACGAGTCAAGCCTTCGATGCCCTCAAAAGTCCAAGCGATTGGCGCGTCTATATCGAATGTGTCTTCTCCCTCGTCACCAAGATGCAGACAGTTGAGGTGGGCACGGTGAACGACTTGCAAAACAACCGCCAGAGTCTTTGCCTCGTTCGGTTCGGGAGAGTTGGGTGCTTCTAGGGCAGTCGACATGAATCCGGTAATCACGCGACGCCAAATCAGCCAGTTCGTCGTTCGCGGTGGAGAAGTGCCTGTCAACATGTAAAGTAGGTGGATTATGATTCCATCTCGCATTCATTGGAGTTTTCTTGCCGCACGCTGAGGTGGACAGACGACACCCAGGAGGAAGCGGGTACGATGTCAGGCAACACCTCTTGGTGGCGAGACTGCACAGCTTCAAAAGCCTTTGCCAAACGTCCATGGTCTTCGTAGCCGAGTCGCTGTTACGCGGCCGTAGCCATGTATGTAGAGGGATGTAACTGTGCTGATGGACATCCTGTTATCGTCGGTGGCGACGGCCACAGCCAGGCTCCAATGGAATTAGTTATTGACCGGCAGAATGATGTAGACCATGTCGGGCGCGGGGGAGGCAAACACGTCCTCGAAGCAAGTTATGACGCGACGATGGATGTTGATGAGCGTTGAGCCCACTTCCAGCGATGTTGTTCTATCTGGCAAGGGGTTGCGGACGTCGTGGAGGAAGCTAGAGATGGCCGCCGCTGACAGCCAGGTTCATGGCGCGAGGCTTTGTAGCAGATCGTCATCTGCAGTGTATAGTAATGGGCGCCTCTTCATTTCGGGACTGGCCGGTGCGGCGGCAAAACACCTGCGTTTTCTTCGGTCTATGTTGCCATATTCACTGGCGGAAGATAGCCCGACTTGGGGGGTATGAGCGGGATTAGGTGGCATCTTGCGGGAATGGTGTGGCGAATCGGAAAACACGGAGTTGGTTACGCTCCTCGTGCCGGTGAAAGGAGGTGGTTTGCTTTCCGACATGGTATCAAGGAATGGCGGTAAATCATTGGCAGGCTCGTTGTCGTGTCTGGTGTTGGAGGTCTAAATATTGTCTGTAAACACCATTTACTGCGAGTAGCCGTCGTTGTTGTGTTATTGTCGCCGTCGAGGCTGTTTTCCTCAATCTCCAAGGGATTATCAAAGGTCAATAGTAGTGGAGAGGCGTCTATGGGAAGGTGGTGGCATCACCATTTGATGTGGGTTGGTCCTCAAACACACAATGTCCCCAGGCTTTGAAGCTTGAGGGTCGACGGATGTATCGCAATGGTCGGGGGATCCGTAAGGTTCTTGCTGCATTGAAGGTGGTGATTGGCCTGCACGACCATCATGTGTCGTCGAAGCGACTCAGCGACCAGCCAGCCACTGGACCGGAAAGGACAAGTCAAAGCATACCTCAGAAGTACGCCCTGGGGAGCGTCCCTGTTCGGTCTCTTCTTCTAGGTCGTCCTCATGCATCTGGAAAAGCCGACGTCCTAGCCTGCAGCTCTGGATGGTCGCCTTGAGAAGGTGCTTTGGCCGAATGTAGCTCGATGGGAATTTCCCGAGTGTTATCAGGGTCGGTAGAGTCGGTCTCTTTGAAATGCGTAGTAAGCGGGTTCTTGGTTGATGGCTTGCTATTGCTTGTGATGTGTGGTTACGAACACCCTATGGCCTTACTGTAGGTCAGAGGCGACTTGCCTGCATTTAGCCACGAACGTTACAAGGTTATGACTAAGCATCGTCCTTTTCTATTGTACTCAAAGGGAGTAATCGTGCTTGCTATTCGAGAGGAAAGCTCCTAGATATAAGTCACAGCATGCTCTTGGAACAACCACCAATTGGCCTGTCAACTACACCTTAGCTTGTAGGGAAAGTAGCTAAGATCGTATTACGATAATTAACTGTTAAGAAAAATGCCTAGAAAGGGTGTCTTAAAGATTGATAACTACAGAGCTTTGATATTGCCATACCCTGTGCTATGCTACCGCAGACTCTCGAGAATAACAAAAATGGGGCAGGCTAATTTCAAGTTATTGATTGGTCAGAATTTTAGTGGCATCATAACGTCTCTCGTCTATTTACCTAGATTAAGTAAAATGTGGCCCAGCCGGCTTGGCGCCCCATTTTTGTTATTCTCGAGAGTCTGCGGTATGTCCCCACGCTTCAGAATACCTAAATATTGCTCGTCCTAATGTTGAAATATAGGCGCTAGAGCCATGGCCACCTCCGAACGAGTCTACAGACAACCTCAGAGTGACCACTCTCTGTCCACCTGACTGTGGGTGGGTCGCTTGGTTTGTGCTGACTTTTCTGAAATGGTTCTGCTGTGATTGGCCAACAAAAATTCAGGACCCAATGTTATGTCAGCGCAGCCCCACTATCAGCTCAACTTCCGTTGGACCCACTATCAGGTTGTCGCATCACTCACTCCCTACTAGTAGAGTCGGAACAACACCACGTCCTTCACAGGGAGGTGGGAAGGTGTGGTCAAGGCGACCATTGGGGGGATAGCCTGTCCAATCTTCTGGTTGGCTGCGTAATACTGGAGTGGGCCTACTAGACCATGAATTTTTTGATTGGTCAGATGCACAGACCAGCTACTGATTATGTAACGCTGTATCTGACTAGCTAACCATAGTCAGCTGATCTCAGTGAAGCCCCATAAATTCCAGAAAAGTGGGTGGTTGGTCAGGCTATCCCCCCCAGGTCGGTATACAGCTGACCTGACCTACCCCCCCCCTTGCTGACCTGACGTACATGGGGGCGCCCCGCTTTATTTGAAATTAAATTCGTGAAGGAGGGTAGGTCAGGTCAGCTCGAAAAGAATGGGTCACGCTTGTCTTCGAGAGTAGGGGAGGTACGAAGAATGATCCTAGATTGATCCCCAAAAAGTAGAAAGAGTACTTAGAATATGCCTAGATCGATCTGGGATCGATCCTAGATCGATCCTGTTTTATCTTTTTAGTTTTTAAATACTCTATAACCTTTGATTATATAGTAACGGATCAATCCTAGCCTATTTCTAGCCTGCTCTTCTTTACTTCTTTACTATATAGTAATAGATTAATCCTAGCTTATTCCTAGCCTGCTCTTCTTTACTTCTTTACTATATTCCTCTTCTATAATAACTACTAATACCTCTTCTATAATAACTACTACCTTTACTTAATTCCTTACTAGGGGATTAATCTAGGCCTAATCTAAGATTAATCTAGGATTAATCTAAAGTTATTAAATACTATAGGTATACTAACTAGTGAATTTTAGGTACTTTGTAGATAGTAAGTTAGGGAAAAATCATTCGAAGTACTTTATATGACTAAGCTGCTGTAAAATGTGGGGCGTGACCTATTCTTTTTGAGCTGACCTGACCTACCCTCCTTTACAAATTTAATTTCAAATAAAGCGGGGCGCCCCCATGTACGTCAGGTCAGCAAGGGGGGGGGTAGGTCAGGTCAGCTGCAACCTGCCCCCCGGTCGCCTTGACCACACCCTCCTCACAGGTTGTGACCTGACCTGCCTTCTTTTTTTATGCGAATTTCTCAGGAGTAGTAGGTCAGCTGCATGCTGCATCCTTCACATCAGTGGGCGAATCCCTCTCTTCTCCTCCGAATCCTTTCTCAATAATGGTATCTATTAATAATTTACTACTAACAGACGTTATTTCATAATGAAGCTGACAGCGACTGTTTGCATTATTTATGCTTTAGAATATCTCCTCGCTGCCTTTCTTTTCAGAGTTTCCAATTGAGTACAGCTACATAGTAGACTCCTGTTCGCTTAGAGAGCCAATCAGTGCTCCAATATCCACTATTCTCATTCTATTAGAACCCGTCGACTGCTGAGTGAACAGCTACAAGTACGATGCCGTGAGGGGGTTTCCGGCAGTCCGCAGCTAAGTCAAAATCTTTTTTCGTTTACTACATTCACTCTATCTGCTTTTTTCGTTTTTTTTTAAAACTTTGATTTGCTGGCTTAGAAATACCCTACAAACTATATAGATTACTTAAGAAAACTACTTCCATACTCAAAAGAATAACTCTTTAGCTATCAGGAGCAGGCTTCTTTGGCTGTTGCGATGGGCGGGTTGTGAAGCCCTGGAAATAAGCCCGGCTGCGGTTGTTTTTTTAACAAGAGACAGGGGCTTGCTTTTTATGAACCTTCTCAACTTCCGTTGGACCCACTGTCAGGTGGACAGGGGTCGTCACTGTCAGGTTATCGCATCACTTCTTCTCTACCTTACTTATCCTGTGTAGAGCCAATGAGAGCTCTCATGTAAATGGGCTTATACTGCTTTTATGTATAATTCTTACGCAATTCTTAAGCCCACCGTCTTTATACATAATTTCTTCCCTTCTGAAAAGGTAACTACTGAATTTTGACCCAGTGGTGGCTGCGGACGGCCGTAGGGGGTGTCTACTTTTTCCAGCCAATGGAATAACATGTTCTCTTCCCTTTTTTATTATTACCAAGAGCTAGTAGTCACAACAGAACTCACCGATTGACCCAGGCCAAACCATGCTCATGATTACCATGTAGTCCTGAGGTCCTGTAGCAGTCACAATAGGCAGGTCATGTCTCCTCGCACTGGCTCTGCGGTGCTAACAACCCACGGGTTGACGGCAAAGCATCAAAAGACACCTCAAGCCCCCAACACTCCGTTTCTAGCTCAAAATCCCCGTGAAGAGTTACCCGTCTGTGTTACATTCCGCCGTGCAGAATATCTGCTGCTGTGCTCCTTTCCTTAACAGCTCTTTGGCAGAAACTGCGGCCTCGGGTTGAGATTTCTGCACGCATTTGTGTGGGGGGTTTGACTATTGATTGGAAGGCAGCGTTGTTTCCGTCGACAGCGTCGACATTGCTTTCATCACATGGAAGACTAAAATGTGTCGTCGATTCCGGCCTCGCGAAACTTCTCCAGTAAGATCTACAGAGTTAGAATAATGAGAACTAGCTGCTGAGGCAGCCGGAGGAGCAACAGCATAACAAACTCACAATGAGTAAGACGAAGGCAATATATAGATATAGTGACTTGTGCACTAGGTCGATTGCACAGCGTGGCATAAGACCAAATCAACCTTCGATCCCTGTCTGGCGTGGCGATCACATACTAGGATAAAAAGGAGTCTGAAGTTCAATTAGTCAAAGTGAATCAGCAACTCGCTAGCGGTAGGCAGCTGCTTCAGATCGAGACGGCG